AGTTACGTTAAATTACCAGAGGGTAAGGTGTAGCCTCTGGAAATTTGACAGTTTGAATTGGAAAATCACAATTTTCGAAAGCCAAATCATCATGGCGTCCACAGCAAACACATTTCGATTACCAGAGAGGTAGCTTATTACGAACGACTTATCCCCCTTTCTTCATCCAATTTTGAACACGAGCTCAGCAGCACCAATCCCTTCCCTATCTTACTAGATGGAGCCTCAGAACGGTCGAGCGCTGGATCGATGCAGTTAAGATTGCCATTCAGGTGGGTTTAAATATTGGGAATGGGATGAACGATGATTATGCTTTCCCACGGATTCAGTTGTTGAACTATAGATCATTATGATATATATATATATAATATAATGTGTATATTATATACATATATACACATAATGTATATATATAATATGTATATTAGATAATTCTTTGGTACCTTCCCAGAGAGCCTATATGGTCACACCATTATGGTCACACCATATATGATGTAGAAATTTTGGTCGCTCCAGGTGTCGTACCATTCGCGAACTGGCGGCCCACGTCACTGTCATGCCACTGGGACGCCCATCGAGTCGATCGGGGATGCGTTCCCAACAAATTTTGGATGAATCCTATAGATCAATCCTACAAAATCAAAGAAAAAAAAATTAATTGCCTTCGGCAAGCCCGCCGGCCACAGGTCTTAGAGAGGTGGCCCCAAGGGAGTTTGATGTGCACTCTAGGTGGTTGATCGTTTACCAACCGAGTACAGGCCCCAGCAAAGGAGCGCCAGGTACTATATATGATTATATATGAGCCTTTGGCTTGAAAGCAGACCGCTGCATGGAAGGGGACAGAGTGGAAGCGGAGAGAGGTTGCCCCAAGGGAGGTTGATGAGCACACTAGGTGGAAGCCTGAGAGAGAAGCAGAAGATAACACAAGAGGAAGAGGAAGAGGAAGAGGAAGAAGAAGAGGAAAAGAAGAAGAAGACGAAGAAAAAGAAGAAGAAGAAGAAGAAGAATAATATGGAAAGAAGAAGAAGAAGAAGAATATGGAAAGAAGAAGAAGATGGAAAAAAGAAGAAGAAGAAGAAGAACAATAATAAGAAGAAGAATAAGAAGAAAAAAAATAATAATCATAAGAAGAAGAATAAGAAGAACAAGAAAAAGAAGAAAAAGAAGAAGAAGAAGAAGAAGAAGAAGATGGAAAAAAAGAAGAAGATGGAAAAAAAGAATAATAATAAGTAGTAGTAGTAGTCGTCGTCGTCGTCGTCGCAGTAGTCGTCGCAGTAGTCGTAGTAGTCGTATTAGTCGTAGTCATCGCAGTGGTCGTAGTCCTAGAAGTAGTAATAGTAGTAGTAGTAGTAGTAGTAGTAATAGTACTCGTTCCAGGGTGCTGCAACAGCTAGCACCTAAATTTGCAGAGACGCCTGGATGCCGGATTACCAAGAGCTGCGCTGACATTTGGTACCTGAATTCGAGAATATGCAGTTGCGGCAAAGGCCAGACCTTTAGATGCAGTGAAAGTGAAAAAGTGACAAGTGATCTTAGCATATCATATCTCTCCCTCTCTCTCTCTATATATATATTTATGCAATACACATAAGTACATACAGAATATAATATGTGTATATATGTATATAATTAATTATAGAGGCTGCACTTTTGTTTGGTTCAATCTGGCCATCATAGTCAGGTTGTATCAGATACATCGCTAAATCCCACTTTTCGTTTTGTTAAACCAGTTGGTTCTGAGTTTTTGATCTCGAGGTCCGACTGCTTCGCGAAGAGGCGACAACGCGCAAGAGTGGCTGGGCAGATGTTGTTAAAACGAACCAAAATTAGAATACAACCTGCAACAATGATGTTAAATCACAGTATATAGTAAAATATGTATGTAAATGTTGTTCTTGTTGTTCTTCTTGTTGTTGTTGTTGTTGTTTTTTTGAATGCATATATGCACATACACTTAAAGTGTTTAAGACCTTCAACCGCAGATGGGGATGGGTCTAAACTTGGGATTTTCCCACGGTGGGTACAAAGATCCAGCCGTACCAGCTGTTTTGGATCTGAAGATGTGAGCTGAAGGGTGCCAGGGTTTTGAAACTGTGAAGTACAGGCTACCAACACATACTGCAACCCCCATTTTGGACGGTTAATCCATGTTAATCCCCTATGTACTTGAAGGCCTATAAGGCGAAATTCACAACTTGGATACAGGATGGGTAAGCAACTCACTAGGTCCTTTCCGCCCGTGGCAAGATTGACCTTTGAAAAATATCAGGATCATGGTGGGCAGCCCATGTCATCCGTTCTGAAGGTGGAACGATCCATATACCCATGTCATCAGATGCATTATAATTATAACTAATTAAAACTCATATTATAACTGGTTTCTGCCGAATCTGTAGCGCGATAAAGGTCAAATTTTTGAATCGCACCATTGGTCAGTTTGCAAGACTTCCATCCTGGGCCTGCACTGCCGAGGTTTGGTACCGCTCAACTTTCCGCAACCTTTTGGAGCCGATGCTCACTGGTCTGGCATGTTCCCCCGAGTCCCGAATGATTTCAATTGGATGGTCAAACTCCAGCTGCTCCCAGCTATTGATATTTTATGATATTTGTTAAAATGTTATAGGGACTTCATCCTCTGGTCGGCTTTGAATCGTTACTGCCCTATTTTATAATTGAGAAGCGAAATTTTCAGCAAAACACCCACTGACCATTGGATCGGTCGAGTTTAACAAAACCCTGGTGATCGTAAGTCCCCATTCAGTGGGTTATACCATCAATGGATTAGCGAACTATCTACGACTATCATGGATAAGTGTTCAAGATACACAAAAACGGGTGGACAAGCCGTGCGGAGGCCCAACAAAAACATGAAAAAAGAAAAAATCAGGTAGTTGATGTGGGGGGGTCAAAGATCACACCTAAAGATGAGATTCTTGGCGCCACATTTACACCAATTGTAGACCCCCGCCTCCATGCCACCCTCCCCGGCCTCCGAGTAGCAGTTTTCCTGGGGCTTAGCAGTCACTGATCCTACCAGCGACTATGGTCATTAAGCTATTGATTACATCTATAAATGGATTGTAACTATGGTCATCCCATCTATAGAACTATGGCGTAACTATGGTTATTCCCAGAACGAGAATCGTGATCCTCCAGATCTACGTTGCGCAGGAGCATGTGCCTTCGGACATCACTCGCTTCCAACCCTTTGTGGCCAAAGGCGCTGCGGTGTCGTTGCGGTTTTGCCACAAAAAAACACAGAACACCTTGAGGTTTCGTGATGCTTTCCTTACCCAAATGGGACCATTGTCTTCGTTTCGACTTTTGAGTTTGTGAGATGAAGTTCTTTTGACCTTCATTTTAAACAACGGCCCGAAATTTAGAGTCCCTGTATTATGGATGAGTCTGTCACAATGGGCATCAACTCGAGGGCTATTTCTACGTACTGAACAATGCAAGGCGCAGAAGCGCGTATGTTTAGGTAGAACTTTAGGGAACTAGGAGCCACATGATTTACCTGGTCCCTTGAGAATGCCTGAGACCTTCCCTCATTTTTAGGGAACTGAATTGACTCTGACTCCTCCCCTGCCACAGAAACATAGGAATCCAATGTTTTGGTATTTCTCGAGCTGTACGGGCCAAAATTACCCCTAGAATTGGATGGTTAATACTCGAAATTTTCGCAGAATCTGTGTGTTGCTGAGCCTTTAACTTTGACCCATTCCCAATATCACCTGGCAACGGTCAGGCTTAAATCCACGATGAGGGTCAAGGCTGGAGTGATGGTCCTGTGACCAGCACAAGAAGGATGTACATGTATTGTATTGTGTATATTTATATATACATGATATATACATTATACATAATATATACATAATGTATACATAATATATACATAATATATACATACATAATGTATACATAATGTATACATAATATATACATAATATATACATAATATATACATAATATATACATAATATATACATAATGTATACATAATGTATACATAATATATAAATAATATATACATGATATATACATAATATATACATAATATATACATAATATATACATAATATATACATAATATATACATAATATATACATTATACATAATATATACATAATATATACATAATATATACATAATATATACATAATATATACATAATAATTACATAATGTATACATAATGTATACATAATTTATACATAATATATACATGATATATACATAATATATACATAATATATACATAATATATACATGATATATACATGATATATACATAATATATACATAATATATACATTATATATACATTATATGTACATAATATATACATAATATATACATAATATATACATAATATAGACATAATATATACATAATATATACATGATATATACATAATATATACATCATATATACATAATATATACATAATATATACATAGTATATACATAATATATACATAATATATACATAATAGATGCATAGTATATACATAATATATACATAATATATACATAATATATACATAATAAATACATAATATATACATAATATATACATAATATATACATTATATATATATACGTATTCATACATACAACCCCCCGAGAAGGATAGAAGAGAACCATCCCACCAAAATAGTGGTAAACTACTCTTCGGTAGTTTTTTTGGTTCTCCTATGAGCAAGAAAGCATGTTCTACATATATATATATATATTATAACATATATATATATATATATAACAAACACAGCAGGTAACTGAAAGAGATGGGGATTCATACAAGACACGGGGGTATGTATCCAACAGAAGTAAGGAGATGTGGTAAATTGGCGGTACCAAACGATGAGTTGATTATACTGTAGTTCCTCCAGCCGGGAATGTAGATGCTTAATTTCATTGCCATATCTCAACTACTGTGGATTGTCTCCCAATGATTGCTGCTATATCGTTCCATTCGTGAAAGATTTCATATCGCTCAAACTTTTCGTCGCCCTGACCTCCTTTTCGGCCCATGGCGCCTGCTGCCTCCCGACTGCTTGGAACAGGAGTCGCCCTTGGCCTCGCAACCACTTTCGTGGCCCCCGGCCACCCCAATGCCCAGAGTGCTACCTTGCGAGGTTCCAAGGTGGACACTGCAGCCACGCAGAGCAACAGCATCAACAGCCACCTTGCAACCTTGGCCGCAGCTGGAGTGAGCCTGGCAGCAATTGGTACAGCCACTAGCCGCAACCGTGTGCAGCTGAAGTCAGCATCTCAAGTTGCAGAGACTGCAACACCTCCACCATTCCAGCCATCAGAGCAGTTTGGTGCAACCGAACCCTTGGGATTTTTCGATCCCCTAGGCTTTACTGCCGTCGGAGATGAGAAAGGCTTCCGGAAGTTGCGTGTCTCTGAAATCAAACACGGACGAGTAGCTTGATGACGATTGGATGTCTGTCATTTTTGTCATTTGCTCATTTATTTTGATGATCTTGTCTTGCTCTTTGAGAATGAAACCAGCGCAGCAACACAACAACATGTTTCATTGAACATGACTCTTCATCACTTGGATATAATTGAAAAGACTTGAAACTACTTTTCATCTGAAGACTTAGTCAAGTTGTGGTTCCACACAGAGCCGCCAGGTAGCAATGATGGCATCCGTTGGACTTGTGGGTCAGCATTTCCTGAAGTTCCCTGGCTTCGAAAATTCACCGGCTGGTTTCTCCATCATGGGCAGGGGAGAAGGTGTGCTTGGCTTCTTCGCCATCTTCCTTTTGTCCGGAGTCTTGGAGCTGGCATGGAGGGAGGACCCAAGTGGTGAGAAGGAGCCTGGCAACTATGGCGACCCCTTCGGTGTTCAGATGTACAATGACGAGATGAGAATGAAGGAGCTCAACAACGGACGTATGGCTATGATCTCTGTGCTCGGTATCTTCGCGGCAGAATGTGCAACTGGCAAAGATGCGATTCAGCAGTTTGGTCTTCCAGCACTGGGTGCCGGCAGGTTTGTTTCCGCTTCTTCACGCACCAGCTTCACAGGAAAGACATCCTTGCGAGGAAATGCTCAGCAATCCGTGATGCGTAGGGCTGAAGCAGTTGTGGAGGATGTGCCCCCACCACCATTCCAGCCATCAGAGCAGTTTGGTGCAACCGAGCCCTTGGGATTTTTTGATCCCCTAGGCTTTACTGCCGTCGGAGATGAGAAAGGCTTCCGGAAGTTGCGTGTCTCTGAAATCAAACACGGACGAGTAGCTTGATGACGATTGGATGTCTGTCATTTTTGTCATTTGCTCATTTATTTTGATGATCTTGTCTTGCTCTTTGAGAATGAAACCAGCGCAGCAACACAACAACATGTTTCATTGAACATTACTCTTCATCACTTGAATATAATTGAAAAGACTTGAAACTACTTTTCATCTGAAGACTTAGTCAAGTTGTTGTTCCACACAAAGCCGCCAGGTAGCAATGATGGCATCCGTTGGACTTGTGGGTCAGCATTTCCTGAAGTTCCCTGGCTTCGAAAATTCACCGGCTGGTTTCTCCATCATGGGCAGGGGAGAAGGTGTGCTTGGCTTCTTCGCCATCTTCCTTTTGTCCGGAGTCTTGGAGCTGGCATGGAGGGAGGACCCAAGTGGTGAGAAGGAGCCTGGCAACTATGGCGACCCCTTCGGTGTTCAGATGTACAATGACGAGATGAGAATGAAGGAGCTCAACAACGGACGCATGGCTATGATCTCTGTGCTCGGTATCTTCGCGGCAGAATGTGCAACTGGCAAAGATGCGATTCAGCAGTTTGGTCTTCCAGCACTGGGTGCCGGCAGGTTTGTTTCCGCTTCTTCACGCACCACCAGCTTCACAGGAAAGACATCCTTGCGAGGAAATGCTCAGCAATCCGTGATGCGCAGGGCTGAAGCAGTTGTGGAGGATGTGCCCCCACCACCATTCCAGCCATCAGAGCAGTTTGGTGCAACCGAGCCCTTGGGATTTTTTGATCCCCTAGGCTTTACTGCCGTCGGAGATGAGAAAGGCTTCCGGAAGTTGCGTGTCTCTGAAATCAAACACGGACGAGTAGCTTGATGACGATTGGATGTCTGTCATTTTTGTCATTTGCTCATTTATTTTGATGATCCTGTCTTGCTCTTTGAGAATGAAACCAGCGCAGCAACACAACAACATGTTTCATTGAACATTACTCTTCATCACTTGAATATAATTGAAAAGACTTGAAACTACTTTTCATCTGAAGACTTAGTCAAGTTGTTGTTCCACACAAAGCCGCCAGGTAGCAATGATGGCATCCGTTGGACTTGTGGGTCAGCATTTCCTGAAGTTCCCTGGCTTCGAAAATTCACCGGCTGGTTTCTCCATCATGGGCAGGGGAGAAGGTGTGCTTGGCTTCTTCATCTTCCTTTTGTCCGGAGTCTTGGAGCTGGCATGGAGGGAGGACCCAAGTGGTGAGAAGGAGCCTGGCAACTATGGCGACCCCTTCGGTGTTCAGATGTACAATGACGAGATGAGAATGAAGGAGCTCAACAACGGACGCATGGCTATGATCTCTGTGCTCGGTATCTTCGCGGCTATGATCTCTGTGCTCGGTATCTTCGCGGCAGAATGTGCAACTGGCAAAGATGCGATTCAGCAGTTTGGTCTTCCAGCACTGGGTGCCGGCAGGTTTGTTTCCGCTTCTTCACGCACCACCAGCTTCACAGGAAAGACATCCTTGCGAGGAAATGCTCAGCAATCCGTGATGCGCAGGGCTGAAGCAGTTGTGGAGGATGTGCCCCCACCACCATTCCAGCCATCAGAGCAGTTTGGTGCAACCGAGCCCTTGGGATTTTTTGATCCCCTAGGCTTTACTGCCGTCGGAGATGAGAAAGGCTTCCGGAAGTTGCGTGTCTCTGAAATCAAGCATGGACGAGTAGCTTGATGACGATTGGATGTCTGTCATTTTTGTCATTTGCTCATTTATTTTGATGATCTTGTCTCGCTCTTTGAGAATGAAACCCGCGCAGCAACACAACAACATGTTTCATTGAACATGACTCTTCATCACTTGCATATAATTGAAAAGACTCGAAACTACTTTTCATCTGAAGACTTAGTCAAGTTGTTGTTCCACACAAAGCCGCCAGGTAGCAATGATGGCATCCGTTGGACTTGTGGGTCAGCATTTCCTGAAGTTCCCTGGCTTCGAAAATTCACCGGCTGGTTTCTCCATCATGGGCAGGGGAGAAGGTGTGCTTGGCTTCTTCACCATCTTCCTTTTGTCCGGAGTCTTGGAGCTGGCATGGAGGGAGGACCCAAGTGGTGAGAAGGAGCCTGGCAACTATGGCGACCCCTTCGGTGTTCAGATGTACAATGACGAGATGAGAATGAAGGAGCTCAACAACGGACGCATGGCTATGATCTCTGTGCTCGGTATCTTCGCGGCAGAATGTGCAACTGGCAAAGATGCGATTCAGCAGTTCGGCTTTTGAGTTACTTGACGCTTTTCTCTTCCATTCATTGTACAGTGTTGCATCATCTCAGGGACAGTTTGTGCGAATTTCGTCCATGCAGAATCGCATGTAGACCTTCTTTTACTTCAGCTGAAACCAGCTCCATATAGTTAGGGATAGTTCCAGACTTCCAGACCTGGCAAGAAAAGAGCCCATTCATCCTCTCGTTGATATGCCCCACGCCTGTGACATCCCCCCCCATTTCCATTTGCCACGCCAATTCCACCCGGCGCAGGGTGCTGTCCCGATGTCTCACAAAGCTGTAAAAGTTGGGGGGGGGGCGCTGGTGGTGCTAGGGTGACTTGGAGGATCTGGGAATTATCGTCTTTTCAAACAAATCCTTGACAGATATTGGCTGGAAAGATGTATGACATGTAATTTTTTAGGTAATGCAAGGTAATGCAATGCCATGTCACGCGATTCTGCATAATATAATATAATATAATATAATATAGTATAATATAATATAATATAAAATAAGATAGTATAAGATAATATAACATAATATAATGTTATATTACATAATATAATATAATATAATATAATATGATTTAATATAATATAATATAATATATATATATATACACATTTATACACACCTCACATATGTACATATGGTGACTTTTTCTTGACGGTCAATCTGTAGCAGTGGTTGGTCATACATTCCTTTGCCATTTTGAACATTGTTACACTGGAACAAAACCCAATGTGCGAATCATGTCAACTCGCCGACAACATCTTCTGTCAGTCCTGCAGCCGCGATCCTTTGACCGCAGACGTGGGTAGCTTCCACCAGTTCCCAACATTTCCCAGGGAGGTGTGTCAGCTGACATTCACTATCACTGTGCTAGCCAAGCACTCATAGTGGCAGGGGATACTTGGGCAGACTGCTTTAGTATTTGTATGTCTTGCAGCCATACTCCGTGTGGAGAGCCCCAAAATGCACGCCGAACAGAGTCTTGCACGAAAAGTTGTAGCCTATCTCGTAGGACGACGGCTGCCAGAACAGTCCTGATAAGCACCTCTTGTGCGAAGGGCACTACCTTCCAATCAGTAGCTCGCGGTATTTCAGCCCAGATGTGGATTTCAGAAGGATATCGAAGTTGAAGCAGATCAAACCAACAGCTCACCAGTGCCCCTAGAGAGGTGTCCATAATGTTGTCATCTGGGCATCCAGACAAACGGGCTTGGATATACATCGTGTCAATATTAACATGAAAACTGTATTGCAGATACACTGACAGAGGCAGTGTAAGAGGCATCAACTAGTTCTCGTTGGTCAGACTCGTAGCCTGTGACTAGATACCAAAGCTATTGCCTGTTCGACAAGGAAAAAACTGAGCCTAGTACCCATAGATTCGCCCAGTCATCTTGTGGCACTAACATATGAGTGATTTTGAACTGAAAAATCATGACTGTCCCACATGTTTTCTCGATTTCGGCTCAGACACATCACGACACATCACAGACTTTTCCCTCGTCTCGGCTGCTCCTCCCTTGTCTTGTTCTTCTGTGTCGATCATCTTCTTTTTGCCCCTCGTGTTGATTTTCTGTGTTGCGTCTCTGTCCTTGTGTTGTTGTTTCCTTCTCTGGCTTTTCTCTGTCTTTGCGCTCTTCTCTTCTGTCCTCCTCACTCGTTTCTCTCTTCCTGTTCCTCGCGATGCCCCTCATGCTGGGCATCCCAGAGCTATAGAAAGTAGTCAAATGCAGGTTGAGGATTAGTTGATGTTGATGAATTGATTAATGTCAAATGATGATTCATAGTTGGTTAATGAATCCAATCTGGAAACTGCATGATGAACTATGAAACCTTCAGAAGGTACTCAGGTTTTGGTCAAACGGCCCTAGGCTGGACGACCAAATAAATATACCAAATTCTGTGGCCTCCCGGATTTCCAAATTGGTATTGTGACATATCCAAGTCTTGTGCATACGTATATAAACATAAAAATAAATAAATAAATATATATATATATAAAGATAAATAAATATATATATATAATATATATATATAATGTATATATATATATATATACACATTATGTATATATATATATATACACACATAAATAACAACACATACAGTACATGTATATTGTCGGCATCCCCTTTTTGAGTCAGACTCATTTGGGATGAGAAGAGGTGGTCAGCAGGGTTCTTTTCTGGGAATGGACGCGGCTCGTCCTTTTTCGTTAAATCGTTGGGTTCATCTTGGAACGACTCCCCAAAAAGATGCCGGAACTTTTCCACATCTCTTTGGGGTTTGCGAGACAAAAAAAAACCATTTGGAATGCTGGAATTCTGTTTCAGATTCTGGCGATGATTGGATTTCTTGTCGATTCTATGAGTCTTCGAACTCGAGTGTGATGTGTATGTGTATGCCAGTTAGTAAGTGCTTAATGGTGTACATATCTGAATACTTTACAGCGACGTCGCTAAGATTTTAGGATTAGTCAGGGGAATCATCAATCATCCCCAAAATTCGCTTACAGCACATCTGGTTTGAGACTTATGAAAGAATATTAAAGATTAGCGTATCCAGCCAAAGACACACACACACACAAGCACCATCATCTATGCTGGGCTCTAACCATGTTGTCAACCACTTACTTCGGATGCTAAGCCTTCAGAACTTCTTGAGGTCGAGCACCGTCTACTCACCTGTGCCAACGAATTGCCGCTTTGCCCCAGATGTGGATGTTTTCCATCTGGGCAATTTGTTTTTTGGGAAATTGGGCAAGCACTAAGAAAAACATGGAGGTGGATTTTTGAGTTGTGGCCACATCATGGATGTGGATCAAGATCATTAAAGTTATTGATCTCCTAAATGACCAATTTCGCATGGCTTGATACCAGAAATGACCAATTTTCTGACGCAGGGCCGGTCAGGGCGGCCAAAGAAAATGACGATTTGACATCCGCGACCTCACTTCTAAATGACAGCTCACATACGGGGTAACTCCATGTAACCATCCCCAAACCCGGCTTTGTTAAAGGTTCTTCTTTGTTTTCCCAATGGAGCATTCCCTATTTCAGCGGGAATCTATAGGGATTTTCTGTCTTTTGGAACCTCGGAATGACTTGAGCGGTTTTCAGGTTGCCGAGTTATTGCGCCTTCCCAGTCCAGTGATAGATCTCCACAGGAAAGTCTTGGTCCGATCTGAGCAACAGACACTATGTATATATATATGCATATATACGTAGATCTATAGAGACTATGGTTTCAAATATATCCGTAGTAGGTTTATAGTCATCGATGACCAATGGAGACATGTAGAGACTCACTAACCCTGGAAACACCCGATGCTGTGCTGTCTGATGCATCCCCATGAACTTCGGTGCTCGCTAGCCTCTGGTAATGACTGTTACATAGCTATTGAACATGGCCCATAGAAATAGTGGATTTGCCCAGCTGGAAAATGGTGATTTTCTTGCCAGTTCGTTATTAGTAAACGTTTACCAGAGGGTAAACTCCCATTAGATCCCATTAAACCACCGTAAATCCCACTAAATCACCAACTATGGGTAAACTCCCAAGGGCAGTTTTCAACGAAACAACATCTGTGGGATTTTCCCATGCAGCGCTGCGTCGTTGAGGCCCTCAAGAACGCAGCAACTCCAAGGAGATGGTGATGGCGGCGTCAAGGGCCGATCTAAAAAACCAATGGATGATGATCATGGAATATACTGTCAACCCTGGATTAATCAACCCCCTAATTAGATTATATAACTATTAGATTATGACTATTGGAGGAGTACCCCCCTAATTAATAAACCATGGTTTATTAATCCGGGGTTGACATTACCATATATCATGTAGAATATATCGAGTGTTTGCAGGGGAACTATAAGTTTTTTTTGCCCTAGTATGGGGTTCAGGAAATCACAGGGCTGGGTTTCTTCATGGCCTTTCACTCTTCGACTGACAGGTCGTTTGGCAACTTTCGAGTCGTTTGGACCATACCAGGAATTGCTTGGTAGCCATGGCAGCTGTATCATTTCCCCCCGGATTGGGGACCCCCAGACTTGGATGCTTTTCAATCGGAGGTTTTCGGGGATGGTGATTTTTTTCCATGAAATCAAGGACCTTGCTATATATCACTTATAGACTTATATCAGGGGGTTTCTTAAGATAAGGGATCCACAAGTCACCATGGTTGTTTCAATACTAAGTCATGGTCGATTTGGGTACTCTCATGACCAGCCTCCAGGATTCAGAGGGAAGCAAGATGGGTGACCCCTACCCACCGCGCAGGTGGCTGCTTGGGGTGGGCTTCCGCAGTGCGATTGGGGCACAATGAGTGGATGGGGATGGGGTGAAACGTAGCCCATGGGTGAGAGGGATTCAAGCTGGGTTGTACATTTTCGTTTTTAAACAACAATAACAACAGCAACTGCCAGGAACTGCTTGAAACTTGGGTCCCAGTCCCACTTCGAAATCCGCAAAGTCAGATCTCTGTGGTGAAGAACGTCACCTTTTGCATGTCCCATTTTCTCGAATTCACAAAAGGTGAACTATGAAATACCCTCTGGTAAACTAACATAGCAATGGAAAATCACCATTTTTAATGGGAAAATCCACTATAAATGGCCATTTTCAATAGCAAACTGTTGACATAACCAGAGGGTACTGGGAATTCCCATGGAATTCATAGAAGATCTCTGAAGCCTGGAAATATCCACGGCTCCAAATAACCGCCAGAATGATTTGAACACAATTAACGATATAGCATGATATAGCATGACATAACATAACATAGCATATAGTTATAAAACTATATGACTGTAGACCTATATAACTATATACTATATAACATATGACATACAAACATACAAGATATAACATAACATATGATGTTTACCCCATCTTGGTGGTTGCCATCCCCTTTTTTTGCGATCATTTTATGTATGTCTATCCTCGTTGCAGGACCATGTTGGTGGCGAGTGATGAGAGGCAATACAGCACGTCCAGCTGGTTGTCCAAGGTCCATTGCTGTTTTTTTTGGGAACGGGAGAAGGGCTACCCCCAAAATCATCCAAACTTGCACCAGTTGAGTATGGACACAAGCGTGGTGACTCGGGGATCCCCCATTTTTGAGACACCCCTACATCTATCTATACATATATAATATAATATGTATATATATATATAGAATTTATAATATATACATATATATATATATAGTAGAATTTATAATACATATATATATATATATACATACATTATACATACATATTAAATATATACATATATATCACATAATATATATATATATATCATATATCATATATGTATATATCATATATAAATATACGATAGTACACGCATACATTATGTACAGAGTATATACCTGCAGCATAAACATAGCATGTGATGGTCCACATATATATATATATGCCGATGAAGAGTAAAGCACTTCGTTTGCCCATTGAATTTCCACATGTGAACCACCAAGAGAGAGGGGCACGCACTCACAAAGGTGCATTTTTCTTGACAATCAAAATTGTGGAGTTATTCTGAGCCAATTCAGTGATGCTTTTAAATTCAGAGCCAAATTTTCTTGAGCCAAATTCCGAGCCATTTTCTTGACCATTCAATTCAGTATACATCGATGATTTTCCCATTAAACTCTCCATCTACTTCGGTGATTTTCCATTGCCACCCTGCGCCGGATCGCAGGTTGAAGGTTTCCCTTGTGGCGCCAGCATCAAGGTGCAGCCCGAGTCATTGAACTCGATGAGTTTTCTTGTAGGAAGGCATTTCTAATTTGGCGGTTCCCAAGGAAAAGCAACATTATTCCCATTTAAACCCCTTAGTTTGACTATAAGTTCCTGAAAATTTCCCAGTCAATACCTGGAAAATCTTTGAAAATACGTGAAATTTTCCTATATATTTAAATCCTCAAATTTCCACAGCAAATCGCAAACTCAATGGCTGCTGGCTTCGACATCAACAACAAATTGCCTACACACCTATGTAAACAGTCCCAAAACCAATCCATTAAAACTACAAGATCGCAGCAAAACCCATTTAAACAATAATCTATCATAATTGAATCAAACAAACTATTTGCTTTGAAACCATGGCAATTCCACTATTTGTTCTGTAGTTTTGGCAGTTACACTTTATCTATCTATCTATCTACCTATCTACCTACCTACCTATCTATCTATCTATCGATCCATCCATCTGTCTATATGTATAAATATGTATATATATATGTATACGTATATATGTGTACTATATGTATACATACATGTAATATGCACAAAAGTAACTTTCTTAAACGCATATACAATTGCCTCGGCCATTTTTGGCTCTCCATCCGTGTTGTCATAGCTTCCACCAAGCCACCAGCAAGAGCAACCCCAACACCCCAGGAGACCTATCACGGCATTTGCATCGTGATTTCGCTGCTTGGCTTATCATGATAGATTGGAGACATTTACCAGCACTCATTCGGGACACGAGGATATAAAATGACATAAAATCATATAAACAATCAACAAAGATGTTGATAGCCATGGGGGATACCCCATTTCGTGACCGTCATGTCGTGGTGAACATCACTTTCTCAATCTCGAAGATGTAGAAATTTTCAGTCACTCGGAATGGTAAAAATTGCTTTGGGTCTACCACTGGTTGCCATTTGTTTGGCTCATTTGTGGCTTGTAGGGTGTTGCGTTTCGTTACCTTTTTTGGTAACTGGGGAAGCATCTATCGGAGATGAGGATTCTGGGGGAAAAAGATCCCGCCCAGGATCTTCTCAGATATGCCTTCGCGCCATATGATGCACTTCTTGCTGCTGGGTTTGTCAGTGGGGAAGGCCATACTGCATATTAAATGTGCATTTTTTGGAAAAATCTGCTTTTTCATAGGGTACATAGTTGTATTGCTTAAAGGATTTCAAGTAGATGTGTAATTACGTATGTATATACATCATTGTAAAACATTGTAAAACTGCATTGATATCCAGATTGTGATATTCTACAGTATACACATGATCACAAATCCATACAAACATGTATATTTCCAAATATTGTTAGCCGCTTCCCCACTTGCATTCCCACGTTGCTCGCAACTGCACTTCTGAGTGGAGGTATGGCTGTTGTAGCTCTGGCTTAAAGTTAGTCTTCCAAAGAGTACTCAAATCCTCTTAGAAGTGCCAGCCTTTTCTGGTTCCATAAGTCACCATAAGTCACCTGTTCTTGTGACCCATTTGGTCACCGACACGCGACTGAAAGGTTTGTCTTTATCTCCTACATGTTGGTGGTTCTTACTGGAGCGGCCCCTTGGACTTTTGGCCCCCCGGGCCCTATGGTGACAGGAATGACTGGAATAAATCAGGGGTTCCAATGCACCCTGTTTGGATCCGTGGTGAGTTCCTTAGTTCAATAGTTCATCCATTTATAGATGGGATACCCTCTGGTAAACTAACATAACTATGGAAAATCACCATTTTTAATAGGGAAATCAACTATAAATGGCCATTTTCCATAGCTATTTTGACATAACCAGAGGGTAACCGATTTCAGGAACTTACTCACCGTCATTATCCACTTACTAAGTGGGATGATCCACCGCTGCCGAATCCCTATGATACAGGATGGCTCCGAGGTCGCTGAACGCCTGGAAAAGGCGCGAATTCGATAGGATCTATGCACATAACTCTGAATATCTGGATTATCCCCACATGTATACATGTAATCATAAAGCCTTATAGATATTCTTGTGTATATATAATATTACATGTATAATAATATAATATATATAATTACATATGTAATTATATATATATATGTAATTATATAAAGATATATATATACAATTATACATATGTAAGTATATCATATACATACTCGTATATATATATATAATTATGTATATTATATGATTCATTTAAATATATTCACATATATGTATATACACATGTATACATATGTATATTGTATATGGTTTATCATCTCAACCAGTTCCCACCGATAAAAACATCTTTGATTCCCAGGTTCAAATGCAACTGGTGGACACCTCCTTCTTCCGCGCCGCTGGGGCGACAATTTCCCCGGCTTCTGTCCCAACTGACCGGAGTGAAGAACCGTTCGAAATGGTAAAATGAACGGGATATTCATGGGGACATAATGGGAGATATACTATTCACCATTCAAAATGGAATATTCATTGGGATATAATGGGATATCTATGATTGACAATTAAATATATCCGATTTGGGTGTGCCTGGGATAGACTCATAGACCCCAAAATTTGAATAGGCACACTTATGATGCAGTACTGGATTTTGGGGTATCCAAATTTCAGGCCATCTCCCAACTCATTGGGGTTATCTCATTAAGTTCCAGGGACGACAACCTCAGTCCAACTGTCCAACTCAAAAATCCCCAATCATTGGTTTGTTCTTTGACCAATCCTTTCGGAAAGGGGGGGAAACAAACATCCACAATTCAACATCTATTTTGGTGCAAACTGCGAGCTATTTGGGTGTCTAGCTATCTCTTTCTAAGGCCTACTGAGCAACCAATTAGTGAATAGATAAATTACCGACCAGTGGTAGTCCGCACCACCCCAAACCTAACTTGCAATTAGCCTCCAGTAATCCGAACGCGCAATGGAAAATACCATGACTTTTTCGTGGTTTTCCCAGCTATGAACCTTCATTGATAGGGGGTTTCGAGGATTTCCCAGCCATGTTTGATTACCAGAGACTACATCCTAAAAAAAATATTGATATCCCATGAAAAACTTCAAAACCTCCATATATCCCATTCATATCCCATTAAGTCACTATAAAATCCCATCAAATCACTATAATGACCTCATCAAGGGAACATCGTTGCTGAGGCGGTCGGTTTGCTGCTGGCTGTGCTGCTATCCTTGCGCGCCAAGAATGCTGTCTCACGACGGCAGAAGCTGATGGCAGGACAGGGCATCCGTGGTTGATATGATGACCTCATCAAGATATACCCTCTGGCAAACTAATGTAGCTATGGAAAATTCCATTTTTTTTTTAATAGTCAAAGTAAATCAATTGTAAATTGCCATTTTCAATAGCTATGTTAAATTACCAGAGGGTATGGGATGGGTAAACATTTAAGCACTGTGGGATCACAGATTTTAGTATATGTTTAGTATTACTGTAACCATCTAATTATTGGGGTACCCAATTTTGACCTATACCCATGGTGATGGCCAGCAAAGCCCCAAAAAGTATAGAAGGCAATCCAATACACTAAAGTATTAAGCTGTTCCAACTTTTTGGGCTATATTTATGCTGATGGTTATGTATATGATTATTCTCTGTATGTATACACGATCACACAATACTACTTGCAAGGGATTTCGAGGTTTCCCATAGTCTCTAAACGAGTGGGATGACAGAGGCTTACACCCAAAGGATTACAACGACAACGACAACGACAACGACAACACTACCACCACCACCAACAACGACAACAACGACAACAGGGAACAACAGGGAACAACAGGGAACAACAAGGAACAACAAGGAACAACAGGGAACAACAGGGAACAACAAGGAACAACAAGGAACAACAGGGAACAACAGGGAACAACAGGGAACAACAGGGAACAACAGGGAACAACAGGGAACAACAGGGAACAACAGGGAACAACAGGGAACAACAACAACAACAACAACAACAACAACAGGGAACAAGAACCCTGCAGAACAGGGAAATCCTTGGAATCTTGCGCCATGGGAATCCAACGCCATGGAAAAATCAAGTCTTTAGGAAGTAGCATGGTGACATCTTGGTGGTACTGTACCATATAAGGCCATATTTTGGGGGTATATCCCCTTACATAGGCCTTACATAGGCCTTACATATGGTAGGTACCTCCAATTTAGGTTCCTGAAATGGCCATTGACAGAAACAATAATTAATACACAGTCCCTTATCTAACTTATCTGAGATCCTTCAAAACATCTTGTTAACTGTCACTGGCCTCGTCACCAGGAGTCTTGGACATGAAACCTGGCTGCAGATCAGTTTTTTTTCGGTCGCATTTTTGAAGATGCAGCGTTTTGTGGGTTGTTTCAGTACAGCTGAAGGGAGAATATTGCTATCCATCCAAATTATATACATAAATGAACATATATGAAAATATGGGTTCAGCAGATGGTGATCATCACCACAGCTAGAGAGTTCAATCATCAAAACACGGCCTGACTGATGGTGAGTTGCAGCTACTATACATGGATTCTTTCTAGCGGCTCGTGTTACTGCAAATCACTTGAGTCCTGGGACAGCACAGGAAAACTCAAAGACATTACTGGCTGGCGGGCTTTAGTTTGTGAAACTTCCAACACCGTTGGGTAGTTGACAAAAAGTCACAAACCGGCTCTCAGGAAGAAATAGTTGAAATCGATCGGATTTGAGCAGTGGCGAAGACCTCTTCATGTAAAATCTCCTCTGCAGGCATCAGATTTCAACAGTCTTCCATCACTTTCCCCACTTTGTCCAGGTGGGTCGTCCCCGGTGGATCTAAGGATGAACTGTGCCAAGAACCTGCTGTACTTGGTCCATTTTAATCCCAATAGTCGCGCCAAACTCCGCGGCGTGCTGGAGTTCGCATTCCTCGAGGTTGGACTGACACCCAAGGGCCACAACCGGATGTAAAGGAATCGGCTGGGCCACCCGAGTTTAAAAAGTTCTAGCTGTCCGATTTCTGGAAGTTATGATACGCTCCATGATACTGCAGGTTCCAACTAGTTCCAACCAGTTTGATACCATGTTTTTAAGCAGTTTTTCACCACTTTGAACCACTTCCAAGCAGTTCAAACCTCAATATCCGTCTTGCAACAGGCTGCTGCATGGGCATTGCCAGTGATGGAACAAGGAGAAGACGTGGCAGATTTGAACGACCTGCCTGAAGAGTACCGCGAGGCCTGCTGCTGAATCTGGAAGGTGGTCGATGTACATCACTTATGTCAATATTATACTATTCTATGCTCTGCTATGCTTTACCATACCATACTAATCCATACTATACTATATTATATAATATTATATACCATTGTATTAATTATAGCCTACTATGCAAACTATATACTATACACTACATACTATAGACTATATACTGTACAATATACGCTATGTACTAAGTACTGTGTACTATATACTCTGTACTCCACACTCTGTACTCTGTACTATATACAGTTTCATTTGATATCACAGCTATCACATCATATCATATCATATTATATTATATCATATCATATTATATTATCTCACATATTATATTTTACCCATCCTTACCCATCCAGCTTTGATAGATAACTCATCAAATTTTCGTCATACACCAAATTTTCACCAATTGTCTTGTACAGAAATCTCACCTTAATCGGTTCTTCCAACCCTATTTGGCCGGGTCTATGTTGGTTAGGGGAAAAGTAGTTCCAAAATCATGGACTTTTTGTTTTGACTGTGTGCCTACTTTGTTTTGCAAAGACGGTTACTGTTTTCACCAAGTCTGAATTACGAAATACGCGACTGATTTTCCAATGGACCATTGCACGAGAATTGCAAATCCTTTTGTGAGACCGATGGTACCCCTAAACAGATTTGGAAGAGGTGAAGCTTACCAAAGTTGTGTCTTTAATTTTTGTATATATGTATATATATATATATATATAAATATATTCTAATTTAATTCAATTCTCTTCTCTTCTCTTCTATTCTATTCTATCATAAATAGTATGCTTTCTTCTTTACAACTTTGTGCATTTTTTTTGGGGGTTGCCGACCTGAGCGCGGGTTGTCAGGTGGCCTTTGTGCTTCGTGCCAAGTCACATGGCTTTGGCAATGGCGAGACGAACCAAAGCAAGGATTGGGATGGAATTTGCTATGTATTCCTGTATTCCATATTACCATCACATTATTGGGCTATAATATATACATATATATATATTTATATTATATAATATATAAGATATGTATATATATATATGATTATATATGTACTATATATATATATACATATTCCATATTACTGGGATGTATATTTCACATTGAGATGTATATTCCATCTTATTCCATAGTTGACTGACATAATGACCTTGACCCTAGAGTTTCAGTTGAACGATATTACAACCAGTCAGATAGATGGAGCTTTCCTAAGTCATGGGGGTACCCCCAGTTACCATCCATTTTATTTTTGGATTTTCCATTATAAACAATGCAGCTATTGGGGTACCCACATGACTTGGGAACCGCCATGTAGTTCCGACTTTCTTCAATAAGGGATAGAAATTGGATACGATTGGGATGTTTGCCAACAAAAAGTGAGGAAAGATACCGTGATGTAACTTGATGGAAGCGGCAAGAATCTAGGCAAATCTATGCAAATCCGGGAATTCAACCAACACATAGAGGGAAATCAGATGGCGAATCCCTATTTATTTCCGCTTGTTATGTGGGAGATTCTAGACATCCCTTGAAATGGTGAACAGGGCCTGCCAAAGGCCCAAAGGCTTTGCTCAGCTTCGAGACCAAGTTCAACGGCAAAGTGTTAGATTACCCTCTGGTAATTTAACATAGCTATTGAAAACGGCCATTTATAGTGGGTTTTCCCATTAAAAATGGTGATTTTCCATAGTTACGTTAGTTTACCAGAGGGTACCAGAGGGTACATGTGTTGAAAAGCAAGGCCACATATTTCATGTCCCACTTACAGAAATACCATCAAAGGGGTGGTCGGCCGCACTCCCATGGTCTATTACCCACTTCCCCCAGGAAACCGTGCTCAAAAAACGACTTGTGAAACATATATGATTTATGAACCACATCAGAAGTATTCTCATCATTCGTCAACCACCCATAATTTATTGCCAATTGACACACATTATACATATGTAGACATACACATATGTACACACACACACAAACACCTCTGTTAGCCATATATGAACCGTATGTCAAGAACATGTCCATTTAACCATTTATAAACCATATATCAACCATATATCATCAGCCTTCAACCAGATAATCCCTCCAAGCTTTCTGAGGTACGCTGCGCACATCTCCCCGCGGCCGCTCTTCATGTGGCTCCGTGAGCTTTGCGACGAGCCTGGGGGGCTCAGAGCATGAAACCAGAGCCTGGTTCAGCATGGTTCCTGGGGGCCATGGTTTTTCATGGGAACTGACGGGAGGAATATGATGGACTATTGACTATCTTCAAAATTCCCAGTTGTATAGTCAAAAACATGGGATATATATATAATTATGATGGACTATTGAAATTCAAGCAAGAATATTCCCAGTACTGGGGATGATCGTCCCCAAGGGACCACGATTTTTCAGTGGAGAAACTACACGATATAAAAATCCGGTAATTTAAGTTGCAGTTTGCTATAGAAATGGCCCCCTAGAAATACCTGATTTACTGGGGTATATCATTTTCTAGTTCACAAAGTGTTTCAGAAAGTATCAGAAACTATAGAAACCATTTCTTGTCAGTCCCTCGCCCCGTTCTGAGGCTGTTTGATCCCGCACTGGCCACGAAAAGTGCTGGGTTGCTGGGCAGAGTTGGGGGGATGGCTAACCATGGATCATTTGGGATTGATATGGGTGTCTTTGAAAATAGGGGGTGCCAAAAAATATGGCTGTTTGAATCAGAACATGATGACAATGATTGCTTGAAATGGATTTAGGGCTACAGTATTTTCCAGACAAACCTATATAGCCATTATGTTTGAAATTAGGGATTGATATAGCAACGTATATTTGGAATTAGGGATTGATATAGCAAATTGTAGGCACACATAGGATCATTCCATACATGAGTCGACCGTGCTTAATAAGCCCATGCCCACACATTGCTGCGGGGGTCACCTTTGGCTGGCTTATCCCATGACATCCCATTACATCCCCATAAAAGGATTAAATGGCTGGCTTTAGCCACCATGGTTGGCACCATTTTCATTGCTGAGACCACCAATTTGGATGCAATTTCTGACTCCGAGACTTCCAAAACTTCCCCAGTTGCTGGCCACATGTAGGTGGGATGACTCTCTGCATCCATATCCTAAGGCCAGAAAAGATGGACCAGAGCCATGGTCAAACGAGAGATGAGGAGGTCCACAGATTGTAAAGATATATGTATAATATCTTATGTATTATATAGGATATAATGGGTATATGGTATTGTATAGTATATATATAGTATTTGTTTGAATTGGATGAATTACAATGACCTCATGTTGTGACGTCACTGAAGTGATGGTTAGTAATGGGAATCATCCCCAGATGGCCGAACTATTCAGCTATTTTCAGGTTAGTGAATTACTGCAATTCAGCCAGATGGATATCTTGTGTATTCAGTATTACTATCATTAAATAGCACATATATGTACATTTGCAGATGACTCTATGAAGATAGATGTAAATACAGGAATGAAAATGAATATAGATAAATTAAACTATGAACACTAATGTACCTGTGTATAAATTCAAAACGAAGGTATAACTTATGAAGACACTTACTCATGCCTTCCAAAATCGCGATCTTATTGAATATGTACGTGTATATATGTATAGGTATGGCCCGTAACCCAAACTTTGGGACCCCCAGACCAGGCCTTGATGCAATCTCCCTCAACTTTGTTCGCTTTATTTTCAAGATGCTTATTCTTCCTCCAACATGACCCCAGTGGAAAACAACAATGGACCCCGAAAAAAATGGCATTTGGAAGATTCTTGATAAATGTACACATATTACAGTACCATGATAGGTCTTGTAACATAGTTTCACCATGTTTGACCATTTAATATCATTTAATCATGCTTTCCCTATTTCAAGAATCATTTCCCTGTCATTTCTGGTGGTTTTTAGAAGAAAACGGTGCGCCAAGGATCTCGATCATCCGCAGGTTCCACCGAAATGCGGAGGAGGAGCTTCACACACTGCGCCCCGGAGTAGACGTCCCCCCGGTGCGCAGTGGCACCTGAATAAAACATAGGGAACAAAAACCACCCAAGGTCCGAAGAAAAATGACCAAGATCCGAAAAAAAAATAGGGGAACGCCATCCCGAAAATCTAAGATCCCATGGTTTTTCTGCTGATTTTCTCATTGAAAGGATGGAATTCATGTTGGGGGTACTGGAAACGTGATGGCAAATTTATGGAATAATTTGCCCAGATGTGGTGGATTAAAAGAAGACGGGTATTTGATGGTATTTGGGGATGAGTCAAGATCTTTTAATAAACATATTTTGATGCTTTTTTGAATGAAAATCATATGATCATTTGGTACAAACTTGCTTTGGATCCATAGACAGTTCACTTCCCAATACATCGGGGATACCAGCTACTACATATGTCAACATAAACATGGCATAGACTGTGGGCTGGACAAGCATAGACAAAGAAAGGGCTTGATGGAAAGCAGCGGGATGATGATGATGATGATGATGATGATGATGATGATGATGATGATGATGATGATGATGATGATGACAACGACGACGAACTGTTCATGCTTTTGAATGATTTTGATGTCATTTCCTAGGCGGTCTCAGAGAGTTGGCAGAAGTGAGTCCCTGAATTTATAAACAAGAACCCAAGAAGCGTAAACCCCTTGCTTCATTGGGACTTTTTTTGTTTTGATGGATGACTATTTGATATTAATATCCGGCTGAATGTTTACTTTACCTTGGTTGGGATATCCAAGGTTGGCCATGGTTGGGATCTTCAAAATACCTAACGTCCCCCTTGGTTTGCTATGCCAATGCGGCCCAGGTTTGCGAAGTTCGATTTCCTGCTGATGTATCTTGGCTGAGGGGTACACTGGTAATCTTTTGATACCATGCCCCCAACATCCCCAACTACTTTTTAGACCCTGAGAATCACGACTTTTTAGAGGAATGTAGCCATCCAAGCCCCTATTTGGCAGGGTTGATGTTCATTTGGGGATAGGATCTTTGGACTTGTCGGCAGAGCCCAGAAGAATTGGATGGTTGAACGCTCGAACTTGGCTCAATCGTTTCAAGATGTTTCAAAGTCATTCTTAGTTTCCCTATCCGCAATGATTTGGAACCACAGGGAACTGTATCCTGTATCCCAACTGACTCATGACGAGTTCCTTGGTCATCACCAACCGGCGCAGGTTCCGAGAGAACTTTGTGACGGACCAGTTCCGTTGGATGCTGGAGACCGTGCCTTGGAACTGTCTATTGAGATGATGATCGCACGTGAATTTCTAGACGGTTTTTCAGGTGGTGCTCCCGCAGTGAAAGCACCACCAAAGTTAATATACAATCATATGCCTCCACTTATTGCTGGTTACACCATTACACCTGCATTATTGGTTGGGTCGCCATGATTGTTGGCATGTTGACTTGGGACAGTGACTCCATCGGATGAGGTGATTTTCATCTATGTGGTGCTCTATCCCTGGTGTGTGACCTGGCTGCAACATGAGACATCCCGGGAAGCTAACTTGGCCCAGCTGTGTTGCAGAAACTCTACCAATTGTATGGAAATTATGGAAAAAGAATCTCATGTACCTTAGCAATGTGTATGAAAATTCCAGATGGGAAAATCATGGAACATCAGTTATCGTAGGGATACATGATAGAATATGGATGAATACCGTAGATGGACGAAATATTCAAACCCTTTCTATCCGATACAACCCCCTCGCCCCCAAAGTTCAATGTGAATGTAACCTGAGGTGCGTTAGCCCCAATGGACTGGACGAAAGAAATCAACCCCCCAACATCACTTTTGCGAACACGTGCGCTGAAACATTGAGATTTGGGGGTGCGGGGGTTCAACAAAGTGTGTGCTGCAGGGTTTGAATATTTTGTCCATCTACTGTCTCGCTCTCTGATGTTTTCACATCTCTTGGCGTCTCTTGGTATCCAAATTTCTACTGTGTAAACACCCTTCTGCATGCTGCTGATCTTATTCCAAACTGCGCAAAACATTACCTTTTCACAGGTCAATGCAACCTGTCTGTCTCCCGTCCAATTTTTTTCTTTTCCTTGATGTGCAACTGTTTGCAAACTGCACTAGGCATTACCTTTTGACAAGTAAATGCAACCTGTGTGTCTGCGGTCCCATTTTTTATATTCCCTACGCATGCCAAAATGCGAAACACATTGCCTTTTGAAAGGTATAAGCTGCATGCGTCTCTCGTCCCATTTTTCCTATTCCTTCATTCGCAACTTATTCCAAAATGCAGCAGATATTGTCTTTTTAAAGGTAAATGCTGTATGTGTGATGTGTGGGCCTTTCTCGTTTTTCTCTATTCCCTACTTCACGGTGGCGTAATGGAAAGTCCTGTGTTTTTCCAGTTCCCTGTGTCCAGGGTGATGGAATGGCGTGTGTTTTTCCAGTTCCATTTGTCCGTCCCAGTTCCCTTCCGGTTCCTTTTCCAGTTCCTTTTGCGGATTTCCTGTGTTTTTCTAGGGTTTGTGTTGCAATCCTTCTATTATTTGGAAACAAAGTGACATGTTTTTCCCGAGAGCGTCTGAGCGAAGGGTTCTTCTAATAGTGGGGGTCTGTTTTACATCTGCACATCTTCACATCTTCATCTTCACGTCTACACAGATCATCTTCACATCTCCGCATCTTCACATCCTCAAATCTGCGCAACTTCACACATAGTCTCTCCACATCTTCTCATCTTCTCATTTTCACATCTACACAGATCATCTTCACATCTTCACATCTTCACATCTTCACATCTTCACATCTTCACATCTCTCTCTCTCTCTACCTCTCTCTCTCTCTCTCTCCCCCCTCTCTCTCTCTCGCGCTCTCTTTCCCTCTCCCTCTCTCTCTCTCTCTCCTCTGTCACGGTCTCTCTCCTTCTTTTTCTTTTCTCTCTTAAGGCCGCGGGCGGTGCCGACGAGGCGCCACGAAATGGCCACCCTTTCGCGCGAAATGAGGTTCGATCGTCAAAAACTGTGGTAAAATTGCGATTTTGGCGCTTCCGCGGCAACCCTTTCGCACGAAATGAGATTCGATCTTCCAAAACTGAAGTGAAATTCCGATTTTGGCGCTTCGGCGGCAACCCGGTTCGAGTAAACAAACTGAGGTAAAAGCATCTGTGTGTAAAAATGTCTGTGTGTAAAAGCTTCTGTGTGTAAAAGCTTCTGTGTGTAAAAACTTCTGTGTGTAAAAAGCTTGTGTGTAAAAACTTCTGTGTGTAAAAACGTCTGTGTGTAAAAGTTTCTGTGTGTAAAAACTTCTGTGTGTAAAAACTTCTGTGTGTAAAAACTTTTGTGTGTAAACGCGTCAGTGTGTAAAAACTTTTGTGTGTACAGGCTTCTGTGTATAAAAAATCTGTATGTAAAAACTTCTGTGTGTGTGTGGGTTTGCGTATGTCTGTTTGTGTGTGTGTCTGTCTGTAAACATGTTTCTCTGCGTGTGTCTGTGTTTGAGAGCCTATCAACATATCATATCTGTATGTTTGTATTTTTCACATCTTCTATACAGCATACCTTGTCTGTCTCTTGCAACTAAAACCCTGACATTTTCACACCTTCATATCTTGACATCTACACATCATGAACATATTCACATGATCTCAAATAACATTCTCATGAACATATTCATGTAAGTCTTTGGCATCTGCAAATCATACAAATACATAACACATCTGAGTACCTATACACCTACTCGCTCTCGGGCCAACCGTTGTCTAGTTTTTTTTGCGAAAAAAAGGATTGCAACACAAACCCTAGAAAAACACAGGAAATCCGCAAAAGGAACTGGAAAAGGAACTGGAAGGGAACTGGGACGGACAAATGGAACTGGAAAAACACACGCCATTCCATCACCCTGGACACAGGGAACTGGAAAAACACAGGACTTTAGCTGTTACGAGGGAAGGAAAAAAATTGGACGGGAGACACACAGGTTGCATAAACTGTGACAAGGTCGTGTTTTGCGCATTGGGACACAGGTTGCATTTTGTTGTCAAAAGGGAATGTTTTGCTCAGATTGGAATCTGGAATAAGATCAGCAGCATGCAAAAGGGCATTTCCAAAGTAGAAATTTGGATGCCAAGAGATATGGAAACATCATAGAACGAGACGGCACCAACTGGGGTGTGCGGCTTGCCGCACACCCCAGTTGCCCCAGTTGGTACCTGTAGGAGGTTTTTTTTGATTTATTTGACCAGCACTTGTGGAAATATTCACCAGCATCGACAGTGCACACCCTTCAAGGTTCAGGTTCCTCCAAGAAAAAAAACTCACATGGTATACCCCCAATTTATGGAATTCCCCATAGGATACCCTCTGGTAAACTAACATAGCCATGGAAAATCACCATTCTTATATAGAGGTAAATAATCTATAAATGTGCAATTCTCTACAGCTATGTATGCTGGAGAGTAGTCACTATGACAAACCATGATAAACCATCAAATTTGGAGGCGCTCTATTTTGAGAGAAACTCACCAATGCAGATGAAATTTACCACACAACTTCCAAAATTTTATTTTATTTTTTTGAATATGCATCAAAAAGTGAACGTTGGTGCCACAGTTTGGTTAGCCTTACCTATTTTTTTGGCAACACACTCCAGAAATGGGTGAATCCCAGGTGGATCCCAGTAACTATGGGATATAATCAAAGCACAAAGAACTTGGTATCAGCTTACACCCGATATTTTTTTTCCGTAGACATGGACCACAAATGACCACCTATTTCCCCAAGAACTGATATCAAAGTGGTGGGGTTTTCCATGTGTGAATTTGCTGCAGGGTATCAGCCATTATATATTGTACTATATATATATTATAATGTATATATATATCCCCATATTCTTATTCCATGAAGCCCCTATTTTGTATGATTCTTACCCTCTGGTAATTTGACATAGCTATTGAACATGGCCCATTCATAGTGGATTTTGCAATTAAACTTGGTGACGTTCCATAGCTATGTTAGTTTACCAAAGGGTAACCCCCATCAAGAGGGAATAAAACTACAAAAATACAAACCAGTAACTAACATTACTCTGGAAACATATGGGTGTTTCCCAAAAACGGGGTACCCCCAATCATCCAAGTTACTAGACCATGACTTAGTATTGAAACCCATGGTGATTTGGGGTACCCCCATTCTATGGAAACCCCCTTTCTATGGACCCCCCCATATACTTGTTCATAGGTAAATCATCTATCAAAAAACTAACATTACTCTGGACACATATCATTTTTCATAGGTAAATCATCTATCATAGGTAAACAACTATCAATGTTCATCTATTCTGGTTGGTGGTTTGGAACATTTGGATTATTTTTCCGTGCGTTGGGAATGTCATCATCCCAACTGTCGAACTCCATGATTTTTCAGAGGGGTAGGTTGAAACCACCAACCAGATGCCATTAAAATTCCCATTAGATCCCAAAAAAAAACACCATTTTTCATGCCGTTAAACCACCATTTTTCATGCCGTTAAGCCACCAACCAGTCATCTATGACCGTTAGCAAACATTCCTAGGCAAATCATCGATCCAACCTAGGTTTGTACCGAGTCCAACCTGGTGCTGGGCGCCACCACGGCAGCTTGGCGCTGGTCGAAAGTTCGGTTAGGTGATGCACGTTCGGTTCGTTCGGTTCGACTTGACTCGAATGGTGTTTAGCAAGTCAAGTCACTAATTATAGTATATTATAGTATAGTACAATAATGAACTATAATGACTTTATATAGTATAGTATAGTAACTAATTATAGTACAATATAACTATAATAAACTATAATGAGTTAATATAACTGCGAGCAGAACTAAGTATTCACTAGTGAGTATAACTGTAGTAAGTACAATAAGTATAATAAGAATTAATAAGATATAGTAAGTATGACAACTACGGGCAATAGACCAATCTATAGCTACGAGGCACCACCTTGTACCCAAATTGGGTGCTGCTCATACCACCATTGACAGGGACTTATTCTGGCCGTTATAAGAACTGGTGTGATGACCATAACCCGCATACCATATTTGACTGGTACGCATGCCCCAAGTGATACGAAGTTTGGTAGGGAAAATGTGAACGCATTGGATTTTTTTTGGCAGCCAATTTTTGGAGCAACTGATATTGACCCGTGCTGTCAATGCTTCACAAAACCATACAACACCAATATTTTGAAACGGGTGTTTTTCGGAGCCTTGTAGCACGGCCGTTTCCAGCGACCTTAGACGACCACCACTGATGATGGAGATTTATGAAGACATCAATGATGGCCGTATTTACTAAAATCGATCATGTAATGTGGAGCCCCCAAACAGTAGCTAAGCTGGTGCCAATAACTCCAAGAACTATCTGGTTGGTGGTTTCAAACATTTTTTATTTCCATTTCACATATGGAATGTCATCCTTCCCATTGACGAACTCCATCATTTTTCAAGATGGTTAAAACATGTTAGTCAACCACCAACCAGCTATGGTTCATGATACTTATAAGCATAGTATTCATTGGCTTGAGAAAACATCAGTCACGTCACTTGGGGGATGGTCGAAATTCAAGACCCTGATGCCCGTGGTTTTCCTGGTATAAAACCCGTGGAACTAACCGTGGAACATGTTGTGGACATTCTCCTCTTGACGTTGCAGTGAAACGTCACGTCTTCATTGATGATCATTTATGATAAAAAGTGCAAAAAGTGTCTCCACGTGTTAAGATGTGAAGATTTCCATTGTTGCCGCATCGGTCTTACGGGATGATGCGGGATGATGCTTCCCCAATGACAAATGTTTCTGGGATGGCTGAAACACCGGACACTGCGGGAAAAGCATTGGAACCTCGCGCTGACTCAAGTCACTTGGCAAGTGCTGTATGAAGTTCCAACATTGATGGGATGTTGATTCTGAACTCCCATGGGATATCGCCAGTTGAAACAAGCCGTGTAATAACCCTCAAACAGATGATTTTTTAATGGGATTTGCTATGATTTTCCACAAAAACCTAGTACATTTTTCCACTGACCCATGATTTCAGAGGTATTTGCCATGATTTTCCATTCAGCCACCCTGCCAGCCTTAGCCAAGGTGGGCATGGCCTGTGTCTTCTACGGCCTGAATTCCCTCACAGAACAGTTGGAGGAGACCGCCGACCGCTTCGGCGAAAAAACTGGGTGATTTCACCATGAATAGTTGGGATTTCACTAATTTAACCGCAGATGAATGCATGGATTCAGAACATTTTTGGTGATCTAAAAAGATGGAACAGCAAGAACGATAGGGATTTAAGATGATTTAAGATGTTCACCATGAAGAGTTTTTGGATTTTCCGCGTGACTCAAACCACAGTTGCGATTGAAGATAAAATGGTGATATAAATAATCATGGATATTTCGGTGTGTCTGAAAATGGTGGAATTATGATGCAACATCGTGGTTTTTCTTGGGGACACGGTGACCAAGCGGTGGATTTAAAGCAATTTGCAGCGCTAGAGGCTTTGGCTAATTCTAGGTTTTGGAGCTTTAATACCCGACATTTGGAAGTGCAAATCATGGTGTCCTGTAGATTTTCCTTAAACCAATCCGTTGAAAGAGACAGTGATTTAGTGATTTATATGGGTTTGTCTCAAAAGTATTGGAACATTTGGAACCCCCAGGTTCCAGTTGCTTCTCATCGTTGTTCCCTCAAGAATTGCTGAAAATGCTGGGTTACTCAGTTTCTCCACCATTTTCAGACACATTTTTGGCGGCGATTGTGTGACCGGGTCCCAACTCCGGGGTTTTTCATGAGCATTTTCGGCATTTTTTGGTGGCTCCGAGTCTTTTTGATCAACACGCGTTTTCAGAAGGGATTGCTATGAATCAATTTTCATGAGGCTTTTCGCAATTGATCTGTGTGGCATAAACTCGCAGTTGCTAAGACTGAAAGGTCTGTCTCTAGATACCTCCAAGGGGCCAAGTCAGTGGAGAAAAAAACATGATCAACCAGGGCCTTCTTTTGTGGTCGCTCATTTGGGGACAACCCGACACCCCCACAGTTTTGAGTAGTACAGCTTGGACAGCATCGATACGCGCTTTGCTCATGGTTTTTTCTTGCTGAAAGGCTCAAAGCTGATCAGACTCTTCTGAGCTACAACCGTTTGCTTCAAAGACAGGAGTTTCAAGCTATACATGATAGAATATCATGGTTCAATCCTCTCTATATATACATATATATATATAGTCATATTTTATGATTCCTGTTTGAGCAAAAGTCCGGAATTCCCTAACAGGCTTTATCTAGGAGGTCTAACTTCCCAACTCTGAGATTTGAGCCGTGACCCCAAAAATTACGGGATCTCGAAGAATCCTTTCAAAGAAAAAACACGTTTTCAAGTTTCAAGCAGTTCACCTTCCCCTACCTTCCCCCTCCCTGGTGACATCGGTACCATGCTGAGCCGCTCCCGGCTGCTGTGTGGCTTCCTCCTGTTGGCCGCGACGCGGCCGTGGGCCCTGGTGACGGGCCGGCTGGGCCAACGGCGCATGGCAGCGGTGCAGATGAGGGGCGTCAAAGGTGGACGTTGGTGGGAAAAAAACTTCAAGAGCGATGGAAAATAGGTGATTTATTATAGATATTTAGAGTTGATTTACTTTTCAAACATGATGATTTTCAATAGCTATGTTAGTTTACTGGAGGGTATATGAAAATCAGCAGTACATCATTCATCAACGAGCAATTTTCATCCATTTGCCATGGCTATGTTGAAGATACCCTCTGGTAATCTAACAGTTTTCCAATGGAAAACGGTTATGTTTACGTGACAGTCAAATTGCTGGAAGGCAATTGATATTTGTTTTTGAACATATTCCCCAACATAGGAAGGATGATTTAGAGAAGTTGTATTCAAGATGTATTTCTTCGTTCGACATGCATTCACTGATATGTTTTGCACATAGGTTCCATTTGGATGTTCCATCCTTACCAAAAGAATGATCCCAAGTGACTTACATCGATGGGTGGTCCACAGGTTACTTTGCCATCCGGGACCTCTTGGTGGTGCAACGCAACGAAGAAGATGTAGCCGCCTTTCATGAATCGGAGAAGAAACGCTGGCGTAAAGTGTATGATGAGGAATATGTGGAGACCCCTCAAGACTTCTATCCAGGTGATCGGGTGGAGGTCATTTCCGATGTGAGTGTGAACAAGGACATCAAGAATGCCGAAGGCATGAGAGGAGTGGTGACTCATTTTGACTTTGATGATGGATATGAATCCTGTCAAACATGCCAATCTTCGTATCCTGTCACCGTACTGCTTGACGATCCAAAAGAGCTTGCCGGAGTTTGAAAGAAAGACGGGGTCCACAAAACTGCGGCTGGCGTCGTGAAAAAAGCTGCGGTTAACTAGGTTACTTTTTTTAAAGGAAGATCTGAGGGGTTTCCTGAAATGGAGGTACTGTACACCCAAATCATCCAAAATTAGACAATTTTAGTATTGTTTCCCATGGTTTGGGGGGATCCCCCATTAAAGGAACCCCCCATTAGTATATGCCACTTATTACTATTTTAAATTGAGACGCCAGCACTCAGATCACACTTCCGGGTCCTGCTTTTAGAGTGAAGTTATCTCTTGGTCAATTGTTCCCTTTTTTGTACCGGGGTACAACATGGTACAACCGCGCTGAAACATTGGTCTGGGTGAAAAAAACTGACCCAAGACGGACGCTTTGACACCAAGAATTTTCGAAAATTCGTGGGTCCGAACAGGTACTGAGGTGAAGCCAATGAGAAATCTCCAAATGAAACTTGTTTTCCCAATGATCATGGCCATTTCCGAGCTTGGCCGGCTTGGATGTTCCAACGGTCACCCCAAGGATGAGCGCCTCGTTGTTTTAGAGCCTTAGTTTCAACTTTTTTGAATAGCCATAATTGGCTGAGTGAAAAATAATGTTGGAGGTATAGATACTATAGATACAGTATCTATAGATATCTATAGATATCTATAGATATCTATATAGATATCTATAGATACTGATAAACCATGATAAATCATGTCAACCCCAATAGTAGTGACTTAACCATCTGGGATGGCAGGAATTTCATGATGCCTTTCACCCGCATCAGGGCAACATTGCTGTCTCTACCTCTAGTCACTATCACCCTTGTCTTGTTGCAAAGCCATACCCTCTGGTTTATTTAACACAGCCATGGAAAATTGCCCATTTATAGATGGTTTACCTATTAAACAATGGGGATTTTCCATGGCTATGTTAAATAACCAGAGGCTATTTCTGATGGTAAATCAACATCTTGGCGCTTTGCCAATGGTTTATTCGGGGATCCCTTGCCTGGTGGCGCCCTTGACAGACGTCGCGCATCGCATTGCGGTAGGATCCGGTGCATCATCCTCAAGGAGTTGACCTCAAGAAAACGTTCAAGCGTCTTTTCGAGGAACCGAAGGGATTTTTGGAAAGTTTTTCACCGCGGATGTTGGTTGACACAGCGGGCGAAGACCAAGATGTTTTGAAACGAAGAACCGAATATGTGGTCGTCCAGCGAACTTGCGGATCAGAAGTATTTTATACATTTCCACGGCAAGTTTGAGTAATTTATATATATACAATTATATAATGATATGATGAGTATGCCTCGAAGTAATATCGCCACCCAAGAATTTGGATGGTTTCAGAAGTTTCAAATCCGATAAACCACCAGCCATTTGCAGGTCCAACAGGTACACCAATTTTGACACATATGGATTCCCTCTAAATTGGACTGGCCATCGAGCGATTCTTGAGCATGTCAGGGGTCGCGATAGAGACGTCTTGAGACCTCAAAACCTGAGATTTTTTGGCAATTTCTGGCCATTTTACCATCCCAATTTACCATCCCATTATTCAACATTCACCATCCCATTTTGTTTCCAATCCAAGTTGGATCACAATTTTCTTCAGCCGCGCCAGCCGCTCCGGTGCAACATTAAACATATTTTATTTTCGCCAGCCGCTCCAGGAGCTTGATCGTGACGATAAGATGAGAGAATGCGCCTTGGCAGCGATCTGAGTGACGCCCTGGAAGTATTTCTGGTCGAATTTCTGGGCCTATCGAATGGCGACAAAACAATCGGTAAGGATGACACCCAAAAAATGTCAATTAAGGATGACACCCCCAATGTCAATGGAGTTCCATAGTCAAAACAGCTAGTCATGTATAGTTACCCTCTGGTTATTTAACACAGCCATTAAAAAACAAGACAATCCGCGAACCCGAATGCCCCCGCCCACCCCACCCCCTCCCACCCTTCTTCCCGCCCCCGGACCCCCTTCGGCACCGTTCCCCAGCGGCCCTGCCATAGAGTCCTCGCGCGAACGTGGGCCGAAACAGCGGGTGAACACACCCCCGGCCCTCAGACCCCCACAGTTAAACGGGAACCCTTCGCTCCGCATTCGGGAAAAATGGCCCATCTATAGATGGTTTACCTATAAAAAATGATGATTTTCTATAGCTATGTTAAATAACCAGATGGTATGTTTACTTTAGGTACTCAGGAGTGAACTCAGTGAAGCCTCAGAAGGATGGACCAAGATCTCAGTTGGAGACTACCCCAAAATGGTATCCTAAAAGGTAATCTAATCTTGCAACTCAGAATAGTACCCTCTGGTAAACTAACAGTTTGCTATTGAAAATGGCCATAGAAATAGGTTTTACCCATCAAAAATGGTGGATCTTTCCAGTTCGCTATGTAAACGTTTACCAGAGGGTATCCTATCTCCCAAATATGAAATCCCCAACTATTGGATCCGTTCATGTTGGAATGGATGGAATTGGATGATTTGAAAAACCAGCCAGTAGCTTTGGGAATGTCAATCCCATGGGCGTAAAAAATTCCCAATTTCATGGCCATAAAAAGGTGGCATCACCCATTCCAAAGGCAAAGATATGACAATGTCATTTTTGCCAGCAGATATATATATATATATGGTATGCCACTATGTAGAATAGAATTGAAGAGACACACACACACATATATATATATAAATAAATAAATATATTAGATATAGATATAAATATACATGTACATAAATAAAGAAATATATATATATATATATCTTAAGTATATATATATATATTAAGTATATATATATATTAAGTATATATATATATATATATTAAGTATATATATATAGTATATATATATATGCCACGCTCCCCCCCACCGATACCCCCTCCAGATAAATTCAATCTATGCTTTTACATTGTTTGGACACATGGATTCAAAAAGTTTTCTGATAGCCTTGAATCTTGAATCTTGAACCTGTTTGTTTGACATTATCCTAAGGTTACATGATGGAGATCTAACTTGTTTATCGTTATTGGAGGGAGGGTACCGTACATATATATATATATCTGTGTGTGTAATGTCTGTGAGTGCGTTGTTTCCCTTTCAAAGAACTATTACAACAATAAACCAGCAAAATAGTATGAACACATTGCAAATACCAACAGATTCACATATTAGGGCTGGTATTCCAGGGGGGTTACCATATGTATATATATATACACATACATATACAGATCCATTGTGTTTTTGGCCACGGCTTTACGGGGCCGGGGCAGCCCTTTCCGTTCTCCCGTTCTGCAGATTCCCGCGCCTGGCTCAATGATGCCAAGGTCGGGTGTCACGAGGTCATGGTGACTTAAGGAACATGGGGGTGCCCCAATAGCTGGAGGGTTTATAAAGGAAAATCCAAAACCAAAATGGATGGTAACTGGGGGTACCACCATGACTTAGGAAACCTCCAAAAAATGTATATATATATATATACATAATTGTGTATGTTTTTTTTGGTGATGTTTTATGGGATCTACAAAACCAACGATACTGTCTATCTGTCTATCTACCTATCTATCCGTCCACCTATCTATCCTATCCTATCTATCCTATCTATCCTATCTATTTTCTTCTCTATCTTCCCTATCTTCTCTATCTTATCTACCCTATCAATATTGTCAATCTTATCAATCGGTTCTATCTTATCAGTCTTATCTATTTTGTCTGTCTTGTCTATCTTTTCTATATTAATTAACTATCTAATCCATCTCATAAATCTTATCGATCTTTAAGTCGTATCGATCCAATTGATTTAACGTATCTAATCTATCTAGTCAATCTCATCAATCTCATCTATCTCGTCTATCTAATCCATCGAATCTATATAATCCATCTAATCAGCCTATCTACCTATCTACCTATCTACCTATCTACCTATCTACCTATCTACCTATCTACCAATCTACCTGCCTACCTACCTACCTACCTTCCTGTCTGTCTGTCTGTCTGTCTGTCTGTCTGTCTGTCTGTGTCTGTCTATGTCTGTCTATATCTGTCTATATCTGTCTATATCTGTCTATATCTGTCTATATCTGTCTATATCTGTCTATATCTGTCTATATCTGTCTATATCTGTCTATATCTGTCTATATCTGTCTATTTGTCTATCTGTCTATCTGTTTATCTGTGTTTCTGTGTTTCTGTGTTTCCGTGTTTCTGTGTTTCTGTGTTTCTGTGTTTCTGTGTTTCTGTCTCTCTCTATCTATCTACCTACCTACCTACCCATCCATCCATCCATCTATCCATCTATCTATCTATCTATCTATCTATCTCTCTCTCTCTCAACCAGAAATAATCGAGGTATTAACCAGCAATCACGGGGGTAGATGGGTACCGTATATCAACCATGATGGGCCATGATGGGTTAAGTCTTGATTTTCCAATATTTTCCATAGTTATGTTAGTTTACCAAAGGGGATTCCACATGAAAACCCTTCGGGGATGGTAGTTGAGTGAGCCTTGGGCAGTAATTGGATTATCCCGACCAAGCTATGACGGATGGGGAACCAGTGGTAGCCAAGCCCAACAGCCTCCCCCCTTGGAAGTTCTACTTGATTTTACTATATTGTCTTATGCTGGTAGTTGTTTTAGTACATTGTACTCCTGAATGTATTGCGCAGTGTGATTGCACTAGACGAGATTCTAGCAAAATTTTAGGTCTTATCAAGTGTGTCAGTCGTATTCGATCGGATCATGTTCTTTACTTCTCTATCATACTGCTTCTTCTTTGTCTGCAGTTGACCCAGTTGACCAGGCCATGTGTGTCGTAATATTCTTCCATATTCCCTGATTCAGTTAAACCAAATATGCTAAGGAGGCCTCCTGCGAGCCCAAAGTGAATTACAATATAAGCCAGCCCCAAGCAACCGGAATTTAGCGAGAGTGCAGCTAGTTCTAGCCCCATTTTCGACTGGTAGGGGCCCTTACTGAAAGTAGATACATTTGGATGAATGACCACATCCTCACAAATGGCATGGTTTGACCCCGAATTGACCAAGTGCCAAGTGCCAAATTACTGAAGCTTCATCCATATCCATCCCATCCCATCCCTGCGCAGAAAACGGGCGCCAGAGCCACAGAGGAGCCCCGGAACTTCGGTGGCTGGGAGGTGAACTGTTTGGGAATTCATAAGGACTTGACAGCGACTTCGCAACGATGGTTGGTAGAAGGAATCGGCTGACCCAAAGCCGGTGTTACTTCGAATTTCTGAAATACTGCGGAATACTAAATATAAAGGTTTGCTTGATGATTTTGACTGGAACCACCCCAAATCCCCCTGGTTTACCATCAACTTTACCAACGGGACAAAGGTAATTTGAGGACAGACAACAATTTTTGGACAAACCGTACCGTATTTGTTTTTTTGGCCCTTTGTTGAAATGCAAGCAAATAATGAGGCAAGCCAAATGATAAAACTATCCCTACTATTCCCTACTTATTTTGTTTGGGTATAAACCTATTCTTAGTTGGGGTTTGCCACACTACATTTTTTTTTGGCAACTCCCACGAAGACGGAAAAAGTAAAAATCCAAGTAAAACAGGGATACATTAATTTTTGACTAATTATTCATTGGATAAGTAGATTTATTGTTTACTGGATACAGTAGGTATAAACTTTGCTATGAAAATGCCATAATTAGGTAAGATTATTATTTTTTGGTATAATTATACCATAATTTTACCATAGTTGGTTATACCATTCTTTTTTTGGGGTTCTCACAATTTGCCCGAGCTAAAACCGGCAAAAACCGCGGTTTTTCGGTCAGGACCTTCACGGCAAATTCGAGGAGAATTTTCAAGTTTCGGAACCCGGGGGAAAGGGGAATCCAACGAGGACCCCTTGGGTAGTGAAAGCGTTGCTTCCTGGAAACCATCGCTCGATCACTTCAAGTTCGACATTCTTGAACGCATGTAGCACATTTTGTAGATGGTACATTTTTTGGCATGGATTTGTCGCAAAACTATGGGTCTCCAAAATTCCCCCAACAGCCGAGTGTTATTTTAGAAAAAAATGAAGCTTGCGACCAACATCAGATCCTGAAATCTCCAGAACATTCCCCAGCAGGCAAAGGTCAGTGGACGAAATAGGTAAAAACTGATGGTGCCTCCCCAGCCGATTCTTTTTTTTTGCGGAAGCTCACCAGGTGAATCATCACCACTTGGGTTCTGAACAGTGGCGAATCAGAAACCAACAGTCATATTCCATGAGGTGAATTTTGGTGAACTTTATTGTGCACTGTCTCCTTTCACGGCGCTTTCACGATAACCGATGACCTTGGCTGGAGGTTCCAAAAAGAGGACAAGTCTACGCTGACATGGTGTAAAAAAGCAACAGTTCTGGTTGGTGGTTTCAAACTTTGTTTGATTTTCCCTTTGAGGATGATCCCTTTGGAAGAAAAGTCATAGTTTTTCGCTCTTCAAACCACCAAGTAGACTTAGCAGGCACGCTGATATGGTGAACAACACCATTTAGCAGGCATACTGATATGGTGTAAAAGCACCATACTGATATGGAACAACTACAAGACCAATTGTCGCAGTGAGGTATGAGATCGGATCGGATAGTGGGGTCTTCCCGAAATCGAATTGGCCTTGTCAGTTTTCGTCACTTTACTTCAACTTTAAAAGGCTGGAGTCGGCTGGAGCTTCAGTTGCCGAGTCATGAGATATGTGGCACACAGGTTTCCATTTTTTCTAGTTCCAAAATCTAGTCTTTCGACCCAGAAGTAGAACTTGGCATTGAAACAACAACAGACCCTATTGTTGGGTAGGTTAGCTGTGTTTCTGCCAAAAGGGGAGACTATTCAATACTAAATGTACTATGTTCTTTGTGACATGGCTGGCATGGCGTCCAAGATTGGTTCTGGGGTGTCCAGAGAGGTGGTGCTTAGCCCAACAACACGTGGGAAGATAACCAACATTTTTGGAAAGAACATCTCAGGGTCAACGAAGGGACCACTGGCACAGGGTTCATGTTCAAGTGAGTCGTTTTTTTAAATGGTGCGGCTCAATCGTGACCCCATTCTGGCTCGCCATAATTATCTTGGTTTCTCTTGGAAACTCCATGAAGATCTCCCCATTTTTCCAATTTTTTTGAATCTTTTCACCTTACGTGTCTAACTGGCTCAGTCGAACGTAGCTTGGGGGTGCCCGGGGCCCCCCTTGGTGGGCTTTGACCTTGAGGTGCCGTCGGGAATTTGGAATCCAGCAGTTTAGAACATCAATTTAATGTTCCAGAAATTGCTGTTTTAGATTGTTTTAGGATATACCGTAACATTTTTGGAAAACATCATTTTGGGATATCAAATCAGAAACGTGCTCGCATTGTGCAACTGCGATCCATGTTGTTCCTCTGATCTGGTGAGCCCCAAAAGATCAGCAACGGGTCCACAATTTCCAAGATGGATCCTGGTACCGAATGTTAATGTCAAGGTTACTTCAGGTTGCCGCATTGGGCGGCGAGCACTTCAGGTGTGCAATTTCTCCGCTAATCATCCACAGAAGACTGGGAACGGAAGCCTGCTTTCGCCCCAAAACAAAAGTCGGATTCAGCAACAACCTCAGGTTTCTTGGCTCTTCCAACTAGGTACAATGGATGCAATTTCTTCCCGAAATTCCAACATCGGCGTTGTGGCCGTTCGCGGCAGGTCAGGCTTCGCCATGACGTGGAAACTGATGGCGCTGGTTTCCATCGCTGCTGCCATGCACGGACGGATCCAATGCCCAGGAGCCCACGGTGATAGCGGTGAATCCACTGCTGTGGCAAAGTGTGGGTAATTCATGATTCATGATGTTTATATGATATTTATATGGGGATGGGTCAAAACCCTGGTACCCCTGTAGTTCACATCAAAATAGCTGGGATTTATGGATGTGAATAACCCCCTAAAAATGGTATGTATAGGTATTGATCCATAGCCATATATATTTATCGTATGGATGAAATATGATGAAGATCTATCTGTGCCTGTCAGATGTCTGTGTTTTTGGTTTGATGATCATTGATGGTTCTTTTAACTTCAAAGATGTACAGCTCCAGGTCCATAGAGGATACGAGTACGCGACAGATGACTATTGCAGTGGTAAGGTTTTGAACGCCCCCTTGTCAGGCCTTGTTTGGAACTCGGGACGGATCTGATTGATCCTGATTCTGTGGATTTGGAGGCCAAGTTGCATCTCTGCAACTACGTTCAGGTCACCTAACTTCTCATTCCTAGGAATGTCCATTCCCGACACAGGAACCAAAAACAAATCCCGCGCGGATTGCCAGCCTGGCCATTGCCTTTGGCGCTGGAAACTCGCTGCAGGAACTGGAGGAACTTGCCATTGTAACTGCAAGATGGCTCAACAGAGCCTTGGCATGAGATACTTCAAACTGAACCATGTTTCAAGCTTGGGAGACACTATTCCCACTGGAAGATTCACAATATTGACAATATCCAAAAAACGAGGAACATCTTTTTGCTCTGACGGAATGCCAGGTTGTGTCTGTTTTCATAGGCATTTCATCAAATCCTTTGTCCTGCAAGTATTTGGAGATGGATGGCATCTTCCAAGAATCATAAGCTGTAGCCTGCCAATCTGCATTTGCCCAACTATTTTTTTGCACATCGGGTTCATACATCACCTACAACCTGAGGAGTTTTGAAGAATTTCCTTTGGATATTAGATCCGAACTATCCTTTCAACTTCAAGAAATCTCAAGTTTAAAAAAACGCATCTTTTTTTTTGGTTCATTTTTCCGAATCAATCCCCCAATTCTCAAAATCAGCTTCTCCCCAAGGATGCCCATGGCGCCAATGACCCCCATGACCCCGGGCCTTCCACCGCCGCCCCCGGCCGCCCCGGTGGTGCCGCCGCTGCCGCCGCCCGCCGCGCCCCTGGTGGCGCTGCCGCCGCCGCCGGAGGCGCTGCCGGCGCAGCCGCTGGTGCAACTGCCACCGTTGCCGGAGATCTCACACCTGGGGCCGGAGGAGATTGGTGATGGGGGTTGATATCCACAATCGTTGGGGATTTTAATGGTTACAATGGTTATATATAGTTAGTGGATGTTCGTGGATATGGATATTGATGGATATTATTACATATTAATAGACTAATCCCATCCCCATTCATATTCAACACCCCCCCATGGTCCCAAATAAGTGGTTTCAGCATCCCCTACTAAACCATGGTTTCTGGTTTTTTTGGGCATTTTGAATCATTTTGTCCATGGCTAAAAATCCCGCTGGTTTATAGATCTGGATGAGTAATGACGCCCTCACGGTACTGGAATGATGGGATCGGACTCGGAGAAATCATTCCCAAAGCGTCTTATTTCAGCTATTTTAAATGAGTGAATTACACTGAATTACTATATAATTCAGCCAGATAGATGGATAGCTAAGGATTTGTTTTGGCATTTTTTCATGGTTACACCATGAAATCTCCATTGTTCAATCCAAATTGCATGAAGTTTTTATAGTCACCCCAAAAAAGATAGAAAAGGCCAATACGATTCTAAAGTAGCATGGTCAATTTATGTAGCCACAGTTTCTATCTATTTTGGAGGGCTACTATAGAAAAGACCGGGAACGGTGATTGATAATCGGTGTCTTAACCAGCAATGCCCTTCGGCAATCTGGTGCGAGGACATCCCGAAACTTACCACGCCTCCACCACCGCCATCCCCCATGTCTGAAGATGACGTCAAAAAGGCTGGTGATTGAGGATCCACTTCCAAATCGGAAACACAAGGTGATGTGGATGATGCGGACTCGTGGACCTTCCAAGAAATCTGGGTCCAAATTTGGTACCTTCTCAGCATGTGTTTTTTGAACATGTATGTGATATGAGCATTTTATGTAAATTTTCGATGGGTTGGGCCCGGAGTTTGGAATCTTGGAACAGATTTGATTGAGAACCTGAGCTGAGGACAATGTCCAATAGCTGAACCATTCAACAGTTTGTATCCCCCAAAGACAATGTCATTCTTTTGGGCCTATTGTTCGAAATTTTTGTACCCCATGGGAGCATGGTCCTTCTTCCGCTGTCGACAACACCTGTGAAGCGCGACAAAAATCAAGCCTCAAGCGTATTATGTTTTCCATGTCAGTTGTTGTTGATTGTAACAGTGATAGACAGTCATAATCCCTTATGTAGATGAGATTTCTGTATATTTCCTGAATCCGATTTCCAGCTTTCCAACTTGTCCATGATTTTCCATGATTTTTCCAACTTTTTCCATATTTTTCCAACTTTTTCCATATTTTGCCTAACTTTTTCCATATTTTGCACAACTTTTTCCATATTTTGCACAACTTTTTCCATATTTTCCCAACTTTTTCCATATTTTCCCAACTTTTTCCATATTTTCCCAACTTTTTCCATAAATAGATGATTGAGGGGGTTGTCCCTCAAAGTGTCCGCGCGGCACGGGACCGGTCTGCTGAAGGCGATGTTGAAGTGGTTGAGCCCTGGAGAACTGGATCAGAGGCGGCGGTGGCTCGTTGTGAAAGGTAACCCATGATATGAACGAAACTGGAGTTACCTTCATGTGGATATGTTATATATAAATGTTATATATACATATGTTATATAAGCTATATATAATGTGTATATATATATATATATATGTATATATTCGATCTACCCCCCGCCCAGTAACAGCAGATAAATTATTTTCCTTTAACCTACCCTTTCAAAACGAGCACAAGGAAATTGCTCCAAAAATCTCGGCTAGGAGGTGCCCAAAAAAAAACGTCAAGCTGCCCTCCAAACCTCTGATACAGAATTCAGAATTCAAGACAGGGGCTTCACTTTCAAGATCTTTCAAGCATATCAGTTGCATTCCAACATTGAGAAAAGAAGAGCGCAGACTACAGACAATACATTCATGTGTTACCCTGAGAAGGTGCGAGCAAGGCGTCTGCATCGAAGCAAGGACTAGAACATATTGTGAAAGGATTTGGCCGCTTGATGCAACTGGCACAATGCACCGTAATGTGCTCAACCATGGAGTCAGATTGGCCATGTGGGAAAATGGAAATGTTATATACTTGGCATCCATCCTAAACTTTAAATTCTAAACCCCGAGCCCATTCGAACCCTAAATCGCAAAACTTCATTGACGCGTAAGTACCAACCGCCAAAACCAGCACAAGCTAGACACAAAAAGAGCACAAAAAAACACAAAAAAAAAATTAAAAAACACAGAAAAAAGCACAAAAACACACCAAAAAAAGCACAAAAAAAACACCAAAAAAAGCACAAAAAAAGCACAAAAAAAAACACAAAAAAAGCACAAAAAAAGCACAAGGAGACTGCAAAAATAATTGCGAAAAAAATGAAAAAAACTAGCCCGGGCAAGGAAAGGTCCAAAGGGACGACAAAACGAGCACCAGAGGGACCACAAGAAAAGCACAATTTGAGCACCAGCCGAGCACAATTTGAGCACCAGCCGGGCACAATTTGAGCACCAGCGGAGCACAATTTGAGCACCAGCCGAGCACAATTTGAGCACCAGCCGAGCACAATTTGAGTACCAGCCAAGCACAATTTGAGCACCAGCCGAGCACAATTTGAGCACCAGCCGGGCACAATTTGAGCACCAGCCGGGCACAATTTGAGCACCAGCCGAGCACAATTTGAGCACCAGCCGAGCACAATTTGAGGCAAATCAGAAATGACCAAAAATCAATGCAAAGCAGCTGAGGGACCACAAGAAAAGCACAATTCGAGCACCAGCCGAGCACAATTCGAGCACCAGCCGAGCACAATTTGAGCACCAGCCGAGCACAATTTGAGCACCAGCGGAGCACAATTTGAGCACCAGCCGAGCACAATTTGAGCACCAGCCGAGCACAATTTGAGCACCAGCCGAGCACAATTTGAGCACCAGCCGAGCACAATTTGAGCACCAGCCGAGCACAATTTGAGCACCAGCCGAGCACAATTTGAGCACCAGCCGAGCACAATTTGAGCACCAGCCGAGCACAATTCGAGCACCAGCCGAGCACAATTTGAGCACCAGCCGAGCACAATTTGAGCACCAGCCGAGCACAATTTGAGCACCAGCCGAGCACAATTTGAGCACCAGCCGAGCACAATTTGAGCACCAGCCGAGCACAATTTGAGCACCAGCCGAGCACAATTTGAGCACCAGCCGAGCACAATTTGAGCACCAGCCGGGCACAATTTGAGCACCAGCCGAGCACAAAAAACCGAAAACAGTAAAACCAAAAAAGTCAACTGCGCCAGCCCCAGCCCCAGCCCCAGCGCCACGCCCAGCCCCAGCCCCCCAGGCCCAACCCAACCACACCAGCCCCCAGCACCCCAGCCCAGCCAAGCCCAGCCCCAGGCCCAGCCCCAACCCCCCACCCTTGCGTTTGGTGGTGGTGGTTGTTGTGGTGGTGGTGGTGCTGCTGCTGCCGCCGCTGCTGGTACTGCTGGTTGTAGTGGTCGTGGTGGTGCTCTCGCTGGTGGGGGGCGGTTGTTGTTATTGTTGCTAGTTGTCACATTGCTAAGCTGTCGTAGTTACTAAGAATTGGTAAGGTTTCCAACGGAATGTTGGTGATAAGTTGGCCAGTTCCTAGCAAATCTGTAGCAACCAGAGCCGAGAAGAGAGAAACATACACCTGTGCAGCTTGATTCCTTCCGATTCACATGAAACATTTTTCAACCATTTGATGATTTACATATTCATGGTGTCTACCTGATCCATTGTTTGGTTTTGGTAAAAGAATTTATCCGTATCATATCACCAGATTAGACCCTTATTTTCTGCATTTGGCTGGTGCTCATTTTGTGCCCCTGGCTTGTGCTCACTGTTACTGCCCCGGGGGTAGATCAAATGTATATATATATATATATGTATATATATATATATACATATTTTGTATATATATATATATTTTACAGAATGGGTTACCTTATGATATGTCGTGATGTTACCAAAATGTTGCAGTGATGCAACATGGTTAAACCTTAATATTATATATATATACTAATTGGGATATGTACATATATATATATATGTATGTATGTATGTATGTATATCGATGTATAATATACATATACAGCATGGTGTATGCCATAATATTACTGGATTCCAAGACGTTCTTACTAGAACCATATATGATCATATATAATATATGTGAAACGGGTATAATTGTCTATCCTATATAACACAGTGTTTCAAGATGTTCTCACAGCCACTTCGTGGCTGGGAAGCACATCCAAGTGTGAATACCAGCAATCATGGAGATGCAGGACACCAAGAATGCGGTTAAAGAGGGTCCAACCAGTAACAACTTGGTCACTTGAAGCCAGTAATGAACTAGCACCATTTCTGTTAAACACCAACAATGATGTGGGTATATAAAAACGAGAAGCAGTTTTGATATTATCCAAACACAGGGCAAATGCTGTACCCGGTGTAGCAAGTATGTGATATTCAGAAGGAAAATCATGTGGATCTGTATCACCAAGACTGAGGAACTCATATGAAATCTCTGGTGACTGTACAACAATTGCAGCCGAAAGATCAGCCGGTTCTTAGCAGATGCAAATCTTCAAGGAGCGGTCAACTGTAGCTTTGATCTTCAAGATCTAAGGATCTGATTCTGAGGCAACCCTTTAGATATGTTTGTACATGATATATTATCTGATATATCTATACATATATGTACATCCATGTAAATAAATAAATATATATATATATATATGTAATATGTATATATATATAGGTATCCAAATCATCCTATATCATATTTAAGAAAACATCTTGGAATCCAGTGATTATGGTTGAAAGCCCAACGTTTTGAGGATCTGATTCCTTTGATTTTTCTTTGGCGAGGCAGCAACAACTTGAAGACTTGAAAGAGATGCAGAAGAGCACTCGCGAAGAAATGGCCAAGGTGCGGACTGGCGATTTATCCCACTCCTCTGGCAATTCAACGTCGCGAACTGGAAAATCATCCCTTTTCATAGGTAAATCACGATTCATCCATGGTTGAATGACCAGAGGGCACAGTAGGTACGTTAATTCACAGTTATAGGTGGACTAACCCTACTGCAACCGCAACCAAGGTTATAACATGCTATAACCTACTAAGTGGGATGAACCACCAATAGAAGGTCCAGGCTTGTAAACACCTCGGGTAGGTCACTAGAACTCAACTACAGATGAAGTCTTTGCTAATGAGTGCCTGGGTACATACCCTGCTATGCATACTGAAGGCACAAACAGATGGGCCAATGAATTTTCTCATTGGCACGGTTTTGTTGGAGGAAGATTGGCAGACACAAACAGTGGCTAGAACCATCCAAATATCCAGGATGCATTTTTTGTCGTCCAGAATGTCAACCCCCGCATTTCAAAGGCAAGGGCTCTCCTTCTTTAACGGCATTCTCAATCAAATGAGCAGTGTTCAAAACCCCTGTTGGTGAATTATGATACAGGGTTATACTATCCAATTTATTGAGGAATATCTAATCAAATCAATGCAAGTTTGGTAATCTGAGGTTGACATGTCCAACAAAATCCAACAAAATCAACCAAGAATCCACCAGAATCCTCCTATCTGCCATCAGGCGTTGACGGCGGCAGGCACGTCGATGGCTGACCATGCCATGCAGCAGCAGATCATCAAACATCAGACGGCTGCCGCTGCGATGGCAGGCGCCCGCTATTTGTGCAGAAATAGATATGGGGATTTCCTAAAATGGGGATACCCCAACATGGAAGGTTTATAAAGATGATTTGGGGTACAGCGGAACCGTTAGATAAGAACCGATCCAGAATTTTCCAGCCTACCCTGGGGTTCTTAAGTGCTATAGGTGGAAAATAAGGGAATTATGAACGAGGGTACCCTCAAGTTCTTAACGTTTTAGTTCTTAAGGGGTTGATATGGTGAGGGTTTTGCCAATTCATTTTGGCGTGGTATTAGGTTGCAAAGGAGGCGGGGGGAAGAAAAACACATTTTTAGGTCCCGAAAAGTTTTTTCAGGCGAAGGCATTCCAAACAGAGCTATAGGCCAGATATTCCATCATGCCAGGGCTTGAAAGTTTTATTTGGCGTGGCATTAGGTTGCAAAGGAGGCGGGAGGAAGAAACAACTTTTTAGGCGCCGACAAGTTTTTTCTTTGATTTAGGGGCCCGAAACAAGGCAGCGGGCAAGACAAGCCAAGACAAAGCAAACACAAGCCAAGGACAGCACCTGAAGTCAGATGGCCTCTAGATGCCTCTAGTTAGTCCGGCTGGTGGGTTGGGGCCTCGGTAGTGCACGCGAAAACCGACTCGGATGTGCACGCGAGAAACCAACTCAGTTGTGCGCGCGGATGCTGGTGTCCTTAGTATGGTGATGACGGTGATGATGATGATGATGACGATGATGACGATCATGGTGTTGGCCACATGATGATGATGTTGATAATGATGATGGCCAAATGATGGTAACTCATCATGAATGAGCAGTGCCTGTGTCTGCTGGACAGCAAGAAAGATAATGACGTTAACGAGCTCCACCCCATCCCCCGAAGGCTCTGTGTGCACAACTGAGACACTTTTGTGTGCGCAAGTGAGTCAGAATCCTGTGTGCGCAGCTGAGTCAATTTTGTGTGCGCAAGTGAGTCGCCGTCCGGCTGGTGTCAAGCTCAGACTGTTGTGTTCAAACGTGCTACTCGTATTGGGGTTCGAGTCCCTGTGGCGCTGGTAATTTGCTTGCTTGTTGCGTGCTTGCTGCTTGGTTTCAGATATCAATAATCAATGTTTGGTATATTGATACCCGCTAAATGGGAAGAAGAATCAGTGTTCGAGGGTACCCTAGGGTTCTAATCTCAATTAGCTGACAGAAAGGGTTGAATCCAGCAATCCAGCCCCTGAAGTTCTTATTGCAGTAGGCTCTTAAACAGTGGTTTCACTGTACCCCTATTTTAGGAAACCTCTATATGGGTTTGTCCGAAAATAGTGCACCCCTAAATCCATTGTTCAATCATCATTATCCCTATTGAAATAGCCATATTTGGGGGTATTCCTCATTTTTAGACCCTAATGTGATTTTTTCTGAGTCATGGGGGTACCCCCAAATCATCCACTCATCATGGATGACCATGACTTTGTGTTCAAACAACCATGACGACTTGGGGATCCACCATTTTAATCCATTTTAAGAAACCCAATACTGGGTATATGGTGTGGGTATAACAAAAAAACACCTTTGGGTCCAAGGTCGGAATATGTCGGCATGGGGGGAATGAAGAAAATGAAGATCCGTAAATTCCCGTCATTTTGGGGTGAACAGAAGGACACCAGGGTTTTGATTCATAGCCATGAATACATAATAATACACGCACACACATATATAGATGTATACATACATTTATACACGTCTAAAAAAGAATCGAACAACATATACAAACATATCTGCATCGTACCAAACCGGAAATTGATTGAACCCTGTTTAACTTTGGATATTGGATGATTGCCTTGATCATCCTAAATTCGGAACCCAGATTCCGGATCTTTATCCCGGCGGTCCGATGGATTTCCAACCATCTCGGTCGGACAATTGCAATGGGAAATCCCCATAAATCAATGGAGGTTCTAATGGGAATACGATCTAAATCTGGTGGATTTTCCATGGAACACGGCCGTTTTTTTTTTTCATTTCTTCTTTGGTTCTAAGTGAAATGTGTGTGGTACCCTTGGACATTCTTTCTTGGTAATTAACCGCTTGTGCAGGATCGAGGAAATCGCAAGTGGATATGACCCTGGTCAAAAAACTTCCTAGTGGGATTCTCCATGATCACATCTGTAAGGCGGGACACTAATAATAGTTTCCTGCCATCCATGCCCGTCATTGGTTACATCACCAGATTGTTGGTTCAAGCACCCCGTTTTCTGGCTTGGCATTCCGATTTTGGTTGTCTCAGCCACCACACACGAACAGGACACGTGCCAAGGCTGCCAAGGTATCTACAATTGCCGTTGACATGACCCCAAATTGATAAATTGGTCTTTTTGTCCGTCAATCTATCAATCAATCGATCCATCCATCTATCTATCCATCTATCCATCTATCTAGATGGTTTGTACATGTACAAATTTCCACTCTTTATCGGTTCCATCTATGCCATCCATCCATCTGCCCATGTAGAGGTGCACCAGCTCCAGCCCCTGCGCCGGCAGC